CCCACAAGACTTCGAGACTGCTCCTCTTAATCATCTTTTAACTTCCTCGCTTCTTTTAAAAGACTGAAAAGTATTAGAACAGACAGACTCTGCAGCAACACTTATCGAGAGGCTGGTAACTCCTAAATCACCAATGTGCTGTTATTACTCACACTGTAATGGTATGTATACACAATGTACGATGGTACACATCATAGCAGGTTTGTGGTGCTGATAACATGGCAATGACAGGGTTCGACGTTAATGGGGTTTTTATTCACTTGCCAGGTGAGTCAGAAATCTATTTGCCTGAAGTCAATTGTTACTTGCCGGCTATACAAATTGTTTTATATAGTAGCAAATTAAAACAAAGTCCCTTTTAGCTGCCATGCAAGATAGACACTGTTGGGTCTTATTGTGGCACTCCAACGTTTTTCGGTGACTTGACGTGCCTGAAAAACAACCCTGTTTAACCTGCCCCATCTCAACAGAGATGAGAAGGAAGCGAGATTGACTTCCATCATCAGCTCCAGAAAAAAAACTAGATTTCATTGCAATTTAGAAAGTGAGTTGCTAGATTTACTAGCCAGACGTAGCATTTTACTGGCTCCGGGCAAGCGGGCTGTCATTATTGTCGAGCCCTGTATGGGAATGCTTTTTTATTTATTTATCAATTTATTATTCTTTTATGCATAAAGGTGTTTTTAAACTGGAAGGTTATGAATATTGTAAGGAGGTTGGGGTTGCACTGAGGGAATTTAGACTCAGATTAAAGGAAAACCCCAACTCCTCCGTAAATATACAAAGTCAAAGCATTCTCTTGGTTTGGTTTTCAATAACTCACCTCCTCTGCTGTGTCTCTTATGGGTGACTCTGAAAAGGATTTTTCCAATTTACAGTTGTTGATTATTGTTTATTTACCTGACTATTTTTAATCATTTTTGTAAAGAACTCTGAAGTTGCATGATCTGATCTTTAAAAAATGCAGTCAGAAGTTTAAAAGTCTGGTACCAAACCAGCAACCTTTCTGTCAAATAAACCAACATCTTTCCATGACCCAGCGGTCAGCCCTCCCAGAAACAGATTCATCACACTCCTGAAATACATAAAGAGGGCCTGAGGTATTTGTGCTGTGGGCTGAGTGTGAATTTGTTAGGTGATTAAAGGCTAAATATAGCCTCCTGTCTGCTCTGAGCTGAAGACTGGTGACTCAGTGGCAGACGTTCTCGTTCTGTAGTAGTTGCTTTTCCACCACCGTGCCAAGAGGAGCTTTAGGGGGGCCACGTGATTCAAAATGGATAGAAACCACCACTGAAACCACTATCAGGACCTTAGGACCTTAATGCCTGTACTTACTGAATAGGTCAACATGTAACGTTGTTCAATTAAGCAGCTATCTGTGATGAATGTACGCACAAGGCATCAAGGTGTCAGATTCATCTGGACGTGAAAGTACTTTACATTTGCATTCAGTGACTTGTGTTTAATAATTAAGTGTCATAAAGGATTTCACTACAGGTAGAGACTAGAATGTCGCTCTCTCAAAACCTCAAGTAGGACCAGGTCCAGCCATCAGGTGCAGGACTAAAAAGAAAACTTTTACTTTCAAATATAATAAACAAAATCTAATGTTTCTTGTTTTATTTTACAGGTTTGTGGAATGTAATTAAATGAGGAAACTTACTGAAATAATGGGTAGACGGTGTCCCTGAAAAGCACTGAGCTCTGTTTGGCCCTCTTCGGCCTTGCAGTGGAAACAAGGCTACCGACTGAGTGACGGGCTGAGGCCACCAGCCAGTCGTGCCAACAGATCAACTATCTCCCATCACTCTTCAGCCACTGGACCCAAGAGCCCAACACTCATGTACTGTACTCTGTTGTTAGACTCAATGCCAAATATCCTGTGCAAAGAAATCTTTCCAAACCCTTATGCTCATCATCTCATTATCAAACCTATTGGCCCTTTAGTTCTGTTCATCTGGATAGTTTCTTTATTCACAGAACGGTAATTCAATTTGAGAGTAAAATAAAAAACATAACTAATAAAAACATTATCAATTGCATAGATTGAAGCAGCACTGTACAGTACAGAACTGTAATGTGAAAGCCTGTAAATTAAGTCTCAATAAGAAGCCAATAAAGCTTTTCTAAAACTGGTGCACACAATCAGCACCAAACAGCCGGCAGATAAAGTTAACAACTTCACAGTAAACATAGACCATGTTTAAGGTTAGCCAGCTGATGTCCCTGGGACTTTTGGCGGGGACCAAACCGGAGTTTATTGCCAGTTGAACAGAAACACATTTCTGAAATAATAATAATGTTCATGTCTGCTGGATGTGTAAGTAGGCAACGGTTTCCTAATGTTATCCATAACAACCTTGAAGGCTAGTGTGGAATGCTATATAACATAAGATAGATCTGATTGATCCCATATTGAGGAAATGTATAATATATTCTTGCCTGTGATAAAACGTTAGCATACACTCACATTACTACGTCATGGACATAACCGGGCCCCATACTCATAGCTTTTCTAATAGCTAGCTAGCAAAGACAAGCCCATTTTGGTGACGCTGTAGTCTGTCAGAGAGATGTGTACAGTATTTGCAGATATTTTATTTTGGCTGACAAAAGTTAAACTGAGTCACCAAATAACTCCTACATGTAAAACCCCTAAAAACCATCAGTGAATACGATATTTCAGGAACGCCTTGAGGGAATTTGTTCAAATTTGGCGTGGACTGAATTTAGAATTTGGTGGTCAAAGTTCACTTATATCAAACTTTTACACAATTGTCTAATAAAATGATGAAGTGATGATATGCATATGCATATATATGCAAAAGGTCAAAAGTCAACTTCGCCGTGACAAAAAACATTTATTTTGTATTTGTATAACTCAGGAACAGAAGAGGAGGTTGTGACCATATTTCACATTTGGCGGGATACAGAATTGGTGCCAACCTTCAAACTGTGGTAATTGTATTGATCTTTTGTGCCGCCAGGTTGAAGTCGTGTGTTAAGGAACCTTTTAGTGGGTTCTCTCCAGCAACATCCATATTTGAAGCATTATCTACTGTCACAGCTACAACTTTAAGTTCTATCAGAATCTGCTTTATCAGCCAGGCATGAGAATGCATACAAGAAATGTGATTGTTTTTGTTTCTCTCAGTGAACTTATTGGTTTAGCTGATATTGAGCTTCAGCTGATTGTCTCTGCGCCATGTGACGAAGCTCTCTGTCAGTCGTCTCTAAAAATAGACTCTAAGTTAAGATATTTCTCACTGGAAATTATTCACTGGAATCAAACATGTGAGTATAGTGACACTGCAATTCTAGTTTTTCTGTATGTTTCTATGCTAAGCTGGGCTAAACACATCTCAGGTGCCGTACATGACGCCCTGACGTGAGATTGCTCTTCTCATCCTCGCTCTCTAAAGGAAATCAATAAAGTGTATTTCCCAAAATGTGTTTTCCTTTATGGTGGCCCAAAAACATTTGAAGGACACTATGACATTTAGTTAGTCCACTTATTTCTCTTTGTGTGTGTCTGTGTAGCTGTTGCATTGTTGATGCTCACTGTGCCCTTAGATCAAAACGAACTTTCCCAGCAGCTGTAAATTTCACCCACCTCTATCATGTATTGCACAGTGTTGTAAATTGTCACTCAGCTCTTGTGATGGCGCAGACTGAGTTTGTGATCGATGTTTGACTCTCAGGTGCAACACTGACACGCTCGTCTTATTTTAATTATTTCTGGATGTGGTTATGAAGTGGGTCTGGCTGTGTGTGTGTCTGTGGCTCAGCGTCACATTCTGACATTTGCTGTTGGAATGCAGAGTGAGGGAGTGAACAGTTGGGAGGTCGGAGGTCAAAGAGTCTACAATGAGAGTAATGCCTAAGACACTCAGAAGCTCTCCTGATGCAGATGTGGGCAGCACATATCCTGAAGAGCAAACAGGAAGCCAGCAGTTCAGATTAACAACAACTACACGCTGGTTTGTTGACAGATTATGTAAGTGGCAATAATATATGAAAACAATACAATATTGGCCTTAGAACTACATGTTATGAAATAAATATTTCTTCACCTCTTTACATACACAGTTGTAATTACTCGTTATGTAACAACCCCTGCATCTTGTAATAATCTGCCACATTTTGTAATAAGCAGTATGAATGCAATATACAAGATCAGCTTGTTATCATCTTACAAATGCAGTCAAACTCAGGACAACTACTGCAGCTGTCTTTTGAAAGGGCTCCCCAAAAAGGCCTTTAAAAAGCTTCAGCTTATTCAAAATGCATTTTACAGAAAATTGCAACTCCCACATTTTATAGCTCCTACAATATGTATACATTTATTTAAAAATGTGGGAAAATCTATCACGTTTTGGGTTCAGGCTGTTTATTATCAAATGTGGCAGACTATTACAAAAGGTGTTATTCGATAGCCTTATGAAGTGAAACTGTATTACATTTTGTTACATTATTACATAATGAAAAACAAAGTTGTGACTCATTATCTTGTGTTGTCTCATACATGACACATAAACTTAAAAGTCATATTAAAATGCGATTAGTTAAAATTTGTAGGTGAATTTGATTTATGTAGAAATAAATAAAGATAACTAAACAAATCAAACTTATAAAAATGACTACCAAGACAAGTGGTTTATGTACAACAAATTATTCTTGTATTTTGATTTCTAGATATACATCTTTTTGTACATATACTTTTTTGAGTCAGACATTGAAAGTGTGTATATATATATATGTATATATATATATATATATATATATACACATATATATATACATATATATGTATAGCTGCTAAGAATTTTATCTTTCAGGCAACAAATGACAAATTTGATGGCCTCTCCATAAGCACTTGACTCTGACATTTTTTAATTTTGAAATGGAGGGCACTTGAGAAGAGTTTACAATCTTCAGCAACTGAGCTAACTCCATCTGCTGATGAACACTCATGTTATTAAGAGACCTCTGACCCTGAACTCTTACACCGGTTGTTGTTTATCTACTCGCAAAAGTGAAAGCCAGAACAACAAATATGGTACAAAAAATTTATTTAGTAACAGTTTTGTAAACATTTGAGGTAAATTAACATTTACATCAACTTGTTCTTACAAAAGAATCATTCATACACAAGGCACTTCTCCTGTTTAAGACAGCATTGAAAACAGTTTGCTGTTCTGAGCATTGTTTGATGGTTCTTTCTCCCTGACGAGCCAGAGAAATCATGCTCTGCATGACACGTAAGAGGAGAGAGTTCGGAGGAGTCACAGGGACAACGGGCTTTGAACACAACATCCTGTCAGGGCTTTGAATGCAGGGTTAGGAAAGGGCCAGCTACCCAGTCGAGCCGTCTGATCTGACGTCTAACCAGAGTCCCGACCAGTCCGTGAGAACATACTGAGTGAACACGCAGAAAAATACCCCTACTATTATTTCTCTCTCTTGCTGTTGTCCTTCAAACTCATCATTATCTGAGCTTGAGATAAATAACAGCTTCTTTTTTTAATACTGCCTTTTCTGTGAAGAGCCACTGCGTTTTTGTTTTAAGACATTTTTTCCTTTGAGGATCATAGAGATTGGTAGTTTGGCCTCTCGCGCTCTCTCTTTCTCTCTCTCACTCTCTCTCATTCTCTCTCTCTCTCTCTTTCTCTCTCTAGTACTACCAATATTAGCATTGCAGAACAGCAATTTTTCTTTCCTAAATGTGCAAATCTTTATCAACTACCAAAATGTAAACTTTAGGGATCAAAAACAAATGCAGATAACAAAGATTTTTTTTTTTGTCATTTTGAACAAGAAACATGTATTGGGAAAGACTGCTGTTACCTATGCGTTGTGTAGGTTTATATTCTCCTCATTGTGCTTCTGTTTGCACTAAATGTCATTTAAGCAACTGAAGTAAGATACGGTACTAAACATTATACCCATATGGGTACAGATACTCTTACACCATACAGTACCATTATTTTGTAACCCTCCCCCCCAGGAAAATTTAAAAAACAACTGCTACCATTTTACACGGCTTACTCCAGTGTATTAACCTGCACATTAACTGCTGGAAAAGTATTGTTTCTATAGATTGCTTTGCACTAATATATTAGTGCTTAATTGTATGCCCTGTGAGTGCAATATGTCCAATGCAGATTATTTATTTTTCACACAGTGTTACTGTGTACTTGCTGTGCCCCAGAACTGAACTCACAGGATAATACAGTGGATTAAGGTTGTAAAGTTAAAAAAAAAGAGAAAAAAAAGCTTTTTGAGCGTGAGTGCCTGGGTTGTGAATGAACCAAACAGCACAGTAACACAACAGAGACAGGGGACTGCGGCTGCTGATGAATTCGGTTAAAAGGGTGGGTTCCTAAAGATCTCTAAGTATCAAGATGAACACAACAAAATAGAAGCCGTCAAGGTCGACTGCACCATGGCGTTAAGATATTCGCAACGCCAGTCATTGTCTTTTTTAACTGTAGTTGTTTCGCAATCACAAACTACTACAAGTATGCAATTTATGAGTAAAATTCTATTCAGTTTTTAAAAAATAGCACTTTTCAGAATAAAACCAATGTAGAAGCACATGAAATGTGTGACGGTGAAAGTCGTTTAACTCCCAAAGTCGCTCTCAATCTTTAGGTTTGATTATTATAAACAGGGCTTTTGGCTAAAATGTCTGCCAACAATCTAACTAAACAAATTTGCAGTTTCAAGTCTAACCAAAGAGCTTTGGGAGGTTGTTTGTTCGACAATATTGTTATTCTTTATATCAGATGGTGACTGCCATGTATTTGCCATGTAATTCTTTGAAGGCAATGCCTTGTCATTTGTGCAGTTAGTGGAGAGCATTTTTCTTTTCAGACATGTTGACTGAAGGCGATGCTGACAGAGGCAGGCGTAAGGGACTCTGCTCCTATTTTCCTCTTTTGTAAACTAACAGCAGGATGGGAAGGTTTTGATCTCTAGGTTATTGACAATGTAGTATTCATAGAGACCCAGGTACATTCTGGCATCACAGGGATGACCTCTACCAGCAGTTTTGACCCATATCCTGTCCACACTGCGCCTATGTCTGTTTATTCTGAGGACTCTCCGTCCATTCCATTCTCAGTTGCAATATTTATTGTCTCTGCAGGAAGCGCTGCAAGGGATCATGGGTAAAACCAAACTAGCCAACTTTGCCATGCGAAATTGTCGGTGAATCGGTGAGTTGTAGGGCTGCACATGCATTCACAAGTACATGGAACACAATACATGTAATGTTTGTTGATAAAATTACTTCCTGGATGAATTCTGTTTAACACAACAGGTGTTTGCTTCGTAAGATTCAGGAAGTGCTGCAGCAAAAGACCTTCCAGGTCCACAGACGAACGCTGGAACCAGCAGTTGACATGTAGTTCAACATGCAGTGCACGTTTGCGCTGCCGATTTGAATGCGAAACCAGACAATGATGGACAAGATATATGAGGGAATTGCCTGGCTATACATCGGATAACTGATGTGTACGACAATGCCAGTTACCTCTGTTCCACCAGATAAAATAAAAAAATATTCAGTCATTGTTTCAACAAATGTTCCTTTTCATTTAGAATAATTAGTCTTTTAGGCTGAACAAAAAGAAAAAAAAATAGAGAAACACCATGAGATTTTCCCCCAAACCAAACACGTTTGTGAGATTTGTCCATTTTGAAGCAAAATTGTGACATCACAATGTCCATTGCCTCATCCACTGCTGTGAGCGAAGCCTTGTGCCTTTGCAGCACTGCATGATCACATTTTGTGTGCATAAATTAAGACCAACCAAAAACACAAACGTTGCCTCAACTACTCTGCAACTCACCGACTGCACTAAACTGACTGCTGATCAAGTCATTTCACATTTGCCTAAAGGTTTCCTGCTGTCCTGTATCTTGTCGCCTTGCCTTCTGTTTTTGTGATTTTTTTTTTTTAAGTTTTTTAAATTTTTTCTTTGCTTTATGCATGCCTGTGATATTTTGTTGTCTGAGAATCACTGTGTTTGGGGGTGGGGTTGAGGGACGCGGGGTGTTGGTCAGGGAGGGTTTAGGGACATGAAAGGGCTGAAGAGATTTAGACAGCCAGGTCGCTTGGCCTGGCCCTGATGCTGCTGCTCTTGCTGGCCCGACTGAGCCGCCGAGGGTCTGTGCTGACCGTAACTGGTGGCTTGTGCATCTCCACTGTGGTGGTGGTGACATGGCCTTCCTCCTGCTCGCTCTTCCCCCCACCCCAGCTGCCTGTATTGGAGGCAGTGTCAGGGTTGCTTCTGCTGGAGGCAGCAGTGGTGGTTGTGTTGGTGTTGCTGGTGGGAAGGAGCAGTGCAGCATCGACGGGCTGCTGCTGCTCGTTGTTGGTGCTGGTGGAGGAAGAGGAGGATGGGGAGGGAGAGGTGGCCTTCATCTCCCGAGTCTGCTGCTCGGTGGCCAGGTTGGCCCAGTTCTGCTGCGTGGCCAGCCTGTGGTTGTTGTTGTTGCTGATGTAGTAGTGGGAAGAGGGGGAGGACTGGCGGAGGGACTGCTCCTGCTGGAGGTTGTCCATCTTGAACTCCGCTGCTGAGGGCACAGCTGCCGGCCCAATGGGCGGCAGGAATGCCCCGCTGCCCGCCGTCACATCTGTGTAGTTGGGAGGGTAGCTGAGGCTGGAAGGGGCAGTTCTGGAGGCCGAGGCCAAACACTCAGGCTCTGCAATGTCGACGCGGCGCAGCGACTCGCAGTCGGGGTTAAACTCATTTCTCATGCCCTGTTTAACTTTCTTCCATCCAAGGTGATAGATCTCTAACAAATTCAGCAAAAGAGACACGCAAGCCACCACAAGCATAAATATAATAAAAATAGTCTTTTCAGTGGGCCTCGATATGAAGCAGTCAACGGTGTTGGGGCAGGGCCAACGTGCACACTTGTACAGGGGCCTCAGTTGGAAGCCATAGAGGAGATACTGGCCCAAAATGAATCCCACTTCAAACAGGGTCTTGAAAATAATGTTGAACACATAGGTACGCAGCAATGCACCTCTGATACGGATTTTGCCATGCTCGTCCCTGATTGGCGGCTTCTCCTTCTTGCCACCTCCTCCTCCAGCCTCTGCACCATTTCTATAAAGGAGTTCTTTCTCCTCTTGGAACCTGTTTGCTTTGCGCATCTCCTCCTCCTTCTCTTTCCGCTTCTCCTCCATGCGGACGATGTGTAGCACGTGGCCCAGGTAGATGAGAGTCGGCGTGGACACGAAGATGATCTGCAGCACCCAGAAGCGGATGTGCGAGATGGGGAAGGCCTCGTCATAGCAGACATTCTCGCAACCAGGCTGTTGGGTGTTGCAGGTGAAGTCAGACTGCTCGTCGCCCCAGACCTCTTCGGCTGCAGCCCCCAACACCAGGATCCTGAAGATGAAGAGGACAGTCAGCCAGACTTTGCCGATGACCGTTGAGTGCTCCTGAGCGTTCTCCAACAGCCGCCCTAGAAAGCTCCAGTCGCCCATGCTTCAAGATTTCTAGCCTATGGAGAAAGTACAGGCTGGAGTATACAAAGAAGGGAGGAATGGAAAAACAAAAAGAGGAGAAGCATACAGAGAGGGTGTGAGAGAAAGTTAAAGAAATGTTTATGAAGCTGCTTGAAGTATTCAAAGTTGATCTGAACATTTCTCATTGCAGAGAGTTCCATGTAAGGCCTTACCCCGAGGTTAAACACTCTAAACATACGAACACACAAGAAGACACAAGGACATGGATGAGAACGGACGTGTCGACTACTCTCCGACATATTCCTCTTTTTCATAAAAAGCTTAACAGAACAAGGTCTTTATAGAAAACCGCCACATAGGCGTCGCATATCGATAACAAATCGAAACACAGCATTCGATTCAAACATAGACGCTTTTTAGTAGCTTGTATACTGTATAGGCCACCTGTTTGACTGAACCCTGGTTCACTCTCCCTTTCTCTCCCTCTCCCTCTCTCTCTCTCACCTGCTCGCTCCACTGCCCAGCAGGCATGTGCTGAGATCAACATTATAATGTTCGAAAACAGCATTTAGCAGAGATGGGGCTCTGGTGTGGCACATGCACACACACACACACACACACACACACACACACACACACACACACACACACACACACACACACACACACACGCCGCCCTCCCTCCCTTCCTCTCTCCCTCTCTCAACTGTAATACTAAAGCCACATCAAACTGAGTTTACTGTAATTACAAAGAAAATAATATAATAATTGTGTGACAGTGATTTTTTTAAGTTTCAAAAACTCTGAAAGTGGAATTTTTCATTTTGACAAGACTTTAGCAGAAGATGTTACTTTATCAATTTATTTATACATTTTTTCTTTGATGACTCAAATTATTTAGTCTTTAAAATGTCCAATTACGGTTTTTCTCAGGGCCCAAGTTGATGTCTTCAAATAGCTTGTTTTGTTCAAACAATGGTCCAAACTATATATATAGAAGAAAATGATCATATCCTCACATTTGAAAAGCTGAAGCTGTTTGGCAATGTTGATTAATCGATTAAAGTGTTGTCAATTATTTCTCTGTTGATTGGCTAATCTCTTTAGCACTGCATCTGTTATTTGATGCCACAGATTAAATACTACATTTAGACCAGCCATTTAAACAGGCCTGTCAAACTACACTTTAAGGTTTAAGTAAGACAAATGTATGTGAGTGAGATGGACACTCTGAGCAAAGTAACACCTGCTGTTATTCTTTACATCTTATGTATTATGTATATATTATGTACACTGAACAAACACTAACCATACAACAAATCCAACACACATACAGGGAAAGAAACTTACTAAAATATTCTTGTATTAAAGGTAATAAATCCATCGACCAAGGTTCACAATATGTATGACACCTGGAAGAGAAAAGCATTATCAAACAACAATTCACTCTTTCTTTGAGACTTTGGTTAGCAGATTAAAACCAATAGAGCTATATTAAACAAAAGAACACATTAAAAGTTATGTGCATGTTTTGATCAAAAAATTAAATATTTTCAGATTATAGCAATAATAATTTTATGAAAATGGACAATAGTCTAAAATCTTTAACAGAATAATTAACATAATAACAGTTTGCATTAGAAATATCTGATAGAAATATTGGGATAGTATCAGAGAGTCAGAAAGTCGTGTTTTACATGTAACATTTGACCTTGTGATGACTTAATTATTAGTGGCACACTTACATAAATAGATGTCTCTCAGGTTCACAGGTATTTGGGGTATTTATGGTGAGACAGAGCCAGGTTCAAATACAAAGCCTACCATACCTGTCAGACTGACAATACAGAGTGTACCAGAGTCCCCAGACTCCCTTTAAGCGCCACAAGCTTTGTCAGGCTTTTGTCTCACTTCTTATTTAGTCAAACTGAAGTAATTACGCTTAATTACCTGATAACACGCAGTTCTTCATTTACTTGGTCTTACTTCATTCCCATTTAAGCAGATGAAGAAGAAAAAAAAAACTCACAGCAGTGTTTATCCATCATACCTTTAGACCGGAGATGTCATAGTTAAATAAGAAAAGCAAATCCATCTGCCATCATTGGCGCCATCGTTGGAGTGCGTTGAAAAGCGTGTAGCGACCCTCCCTCTGTCTCCCTGAACCCAGACCTGCAACCTGTCGTCTCCCTGACAGCTCAACAAACTCTTTTTTTTTTTTTTTTTTAATGCCTCACAAACTCATTCATCCACAAACTTGTCCAGGAGTGTGGTCAGTGTGGCTGTCTGTCCCGGGCCCACGAACGCGCGCAAGGAAAAGTTTTCCTTTGTTGTTGTTAGTTTTTGGAGGCGGCTTGGAGTCGGAGATGGGGCTCGGTTAGACGGAGCTGCCTCCCGTTTCCAGCCATGTCTGGACTGTCACATTGTGTGACCATGCATGACTGAATCCACAGAGTCATCAGCCTGTCCGGTGTCACACCACGCCCCTGCCAGCCTCCCCAAAACCTGTCCAAAATGTGCGCAAAGGTTGCCGAAAAACCTCTGCACAATTTGTACAACAACCTGAACAGGCTCTGAACAACAGTAACTCCGTGTAAAAATAGCAATAGTTACCACATTTGAGGGGAAAAGGCTAACTATAAACTCACCTTTGACCCTGTAGACACACTGTACTCACTGTCAAAATAAAACACTACTTTGAGAAATTCATGAAAACCTGATGTCTGATGATTAAAAGCAACAAAAATAACATAAAGTGAGCATAATAGCTGTATGAGCATTCAACATTTTTAGAGCATCACCCATAAACTAAAATGAAATAGAAGATCCTGCATGTCCCATCAAATGGGTAGCTGCAGGGAGCCAGGGCATTGTACAGTATGAGACAATGTGACACACTAATGGAACAAAACGACAAACCACAGAGTTTTGTTTTTACTGATTTATGAAAAAAAGGTCTCAAAGAGCAAAAAGACTTCAAGGATCAAAGTGCGAGTGTAATAAAAACTTCGTAGGTACAAAACACAATCACAAATATTAAATCTCTTCATTTCTTGCTTAGAAAGCCATCTGTTCATTAGTATGTTGTTTGCTGTTAAAAGCAGACTACCAACCCTAGAATGTGGAAGAAATCTGAACAGAAATGTGTTAAAAAAACAACATCTTGGGGACTGGAATCATCAGGCTCGTCCCTTAAAAACAATGTCCATCACACACCGCTGCAATCACAGATGTAGCATCAAAATGTTGTTACAGAGAGCAAGAGGTCAATGGTCAATGTAGAGCAGACACAAAAACTTTTTTTTTTTTTAAATCACAAATATATTTTCTAAATATATTGTGCTTTCTCTGTGACAATGCATGACATGCCATTTTTTGGATGTTTGGTCAAAACTTTTCTCACCCACTGAAAACATTACACTTCAAGCTGTAACTCCCAACAGGCTGAACCAGTTATGTAATGTCAATATACAACTTATCCAGATTTTCTTTCTATAATTTTGGAACTGACAAACTTAAATGATGTCCAACTCGTCTCACACACCCCTCTCCAATCTTTCCTAATCACCAATCACTGTACTCTGTTCACAGAAGGTTTTTTTTTTTTCAAACACAGATGAGACTAATCCAACTCAGCTATTCCTGGATGGAGGGAGGACAAAGACATTTTCACTTTGACATCGGCCGTAGTTCCTCACATGAAGAGGGCGATTAGCGTGGTGGCTAAAATAAGGCACACATGCTGAAAGCTGATACAGCCAGCTGGGGTCAGTACACACTGCAACAACAACACAAGTCCAAATAACACAGGAGCAGGTCTGGGCTGAACAGGACAACTTCTGGATGCGAAAAAAGCTCATATGATTCTCAATATTAAACACTTGAATATATCATGTTTAGGACTCGGTCGATATAACAATAATAAAGAACCTTCAGGAGCAGTTTTTGAAGTTATCTGTCCAATAATCAGCATCATCAGGAGGCAAAAGCGAATGTTAGAAAATGCAAAAGTCCAAAAATATAATACATATTTCACGAATGTGTGAAAATATCCAACACATTCTCAGCGTGTTAAGGTTATTCAGCTCGTGTAAAAAAGCACTTCAGTTTCAAACTCTCAGTTCAAGTAAAAGACAAAAGACATTCTGATTTGATTAAACAGCAAGGAACATCAAATCTATTAAACCACTGTGGTTGTGTAGGCAAGATTTCACCATGTTTTATAAATTCTTTATCAGCATAATCTTCTGTGCAACACACTTCTCAGTAATTATTAACACACAAAGGAAAAACTCTAGCATAATTCATAGAAACTCAGAAATCTTTAAACTTCATGCTACAGTCGCTTGATTCAATACAGCAGGGTCATACAGACTCTTCTGCTTTCATTAGTTACTGTCAAATGTCAACCACATGTCACCTCATGTAAACTACACACTAATCACAACACTTGGACCTTGTTTCTGCTTCACTTTTCATGACTTCATTTGTTTCCCTTCCTCTTCTTAAACGGTAAGTAAATCATTCAGGTGCTCTTAGAGGTTCCACCGTGAACCACTAGATGTCAGCGTAGACTCATTTTTCTCTCATTCAGAACCTCAACGGTCACTCGTGCAATGCACTTTCAAACTGTGAACAATCAACCTCTATGAAACACTTTCAACTTACCACTGTATGAAAAAAAAGGTGACACTTGTGATAATGTGAAAGATCCACTGATGCAAAGATACTATTGTCTTCGATAAGCATTCACTGCTACTTGGCGGCTATTTGGGCTCTCAAAGTAACACTCAACGGTGGGAATCCTTTAGATTTTAAATTATACTAATTTACTATTAATATACTAATTTCATTTTGCTTCAGGGAACATCTGGCTGCTTTAAGTGGCAAATTTAAGGCCATATGTAGGAATATATGCAGAACAAATGCATGTCATACAGTGATTTCCCTATAAATGAATGAAGACGTTAGGCCTTAACTACATATGCTGCTGTCTAGTTAAACTAAGCTCTGTTGTGATTTCTGTCTGTTTTAATTTCCCACAGTCTCAAAATCTGCTTCAGAAGCTGTTTCACATTCACATGAGACAATTCTGGTAGATGCTTAATTATAGACACAAACTATGACCATTATGTGTGGTAGCATTTTCAGTTTATGTTTTTCTCCTCCTCTGTTACCCATCCACCACTGATGGCCGTTCTTTAACACATGGTCTTGTTGCTGGTCGAATCTGTGGAAGAAGACAGCAGCATCTCGTTCTTCTTGTTCTGCAGAAGGGCATTGTCCCGTGTCACGCTGTCTGTGTTGGTGTAATTGTGTCTCCTCTGCTTTGACCCGGTCGAGCACCTCAAGAGCGCCTTGACGATGAGGTAGCACAGCTCGGCCACGTTCAGCACCATGCAGATGGCCGATGAGGACACCATGAAGATGGTGAAGATGGTCTTCTCTGTTGGCCTGGAGATGAAGCAGTCCACCTTGTTGGGGCAAGGCCACTGCTCGCACTTCACAAGCCGGGGCATCTGGAAGCCGTCGTAGACAAAGTACAGCGCGTACATGAACCCCCCCTCAAAGATGAGCCTGAAGAACAAGCTGCAGGTGTAGGTCCACCACAGTGGGCCTGTGATTGGCAGACGCCTCCTCTTCAGTGTCTCCAGGTCAGTATCTGTCATCTTCTCTGTGCCGTTGGAGGCCATCATGGTCCTCTTATCCCCACGTTTCCTGTAGGCGACGTGCATGGCTACCAGCAGGGCTGGTGTGGATACAAATATCAACTGCAGGCACCACAAGCGGATGTGCGACACAGGAAAGAAGTGATCATAGCAGACATTTTTACAGCCTGGCTGCTGCGTGTTGCACGTGAAGTCTGACTGCTCGTCCCCCCAGACGCTCTCAGCAGCCAGAACCAGTATAGTGATGCGGAAGATGAAAAGGACAGAAAGCCAAATCTTTCCGAGACTGGTGGAGTGTTTGTTGACGCCGCCCAGCTGGGTGTAGAGTGCCCCCCAACTCATTGTGGCGAAGGGGACTGTGGAAACTCAGACAACCTGTAAAATTCAGCAGAAGGTTAACAGCCCAGAAAATTACCTCTCACAGAACGTCTAACTATCTGAAGGCACTGAGTCATACAGTAAGTGCAGGGTTGGTCCCCCAACCACCGGTGCACACAACATCAGGTAGTATCTGTGCTGTCCCCTGTGCCTATTGCACCCCTAAACAGGGATTTTAACACATTTGACTTATATAACCGATACTACTATCATTTGATTATTATGTAAGTATTCATAATTAATTATTAGCATGATAATCCCTTTGAGAATGTATTAAATTGTGACATACTGTCAAAAGCCATTACCTTTCTCCACTATACAGTCTGTGGGCTGCTTCATGGTTATGATTTGTGGTGTACCCATTAGAGCCATCCTTTTCCTTATCATATAACATATAACATATAACATATATTCTTTCCTGTCATCTTTATTCTTTCTATCCTTAAAAATAAATCATACTTTTCATATAACAATAAAGCTTTAAAGATTAAAGAAGAAACATTTGATGTATTAAAAGCCAATTTGGTCTTTTTCGATGTGATTCAATTACCTCAATTACTGATGAGAATTTACCTTCAATAAATGTACAATATATACGCAATCTTTCTTTTCTTTGCGTAAATAAGTGTTTTGACGGCTAATTTTTTAATTATTATTATTATTATTATTATTATTATTATTGGCGAATGAGACATAAATCAGACTAAATAGTTCGATTACACACTCACTTAAACTAAAGGCCGATATTGTCGTTACTGTTAGTATCAATACCATTATTATTGTAATATATTATTATTAATAGAAAAATAATGGTTGCCTATTGTTGCTATACAGCTATACTAAGAAGTTAGGGCAAAGTACAATGAGTCACTCACCTGTCTGTGTAGAGCTTGTCCAAAATATTTCAATACTTTTCCATGAAGTGAAAACAATTAATACTTTTATTCTTTTGGTGTCTGAACAATCCTGTCCCCGCACTCCAACAGGAACAGAGTCTCGCTCGTTGGGGACGAAGTTTGACTTGTCCCGTGTTGAAGCTGTGTGAGACGCACCTGTGTCTCCTGAGGTTTTTCATCATCCCTCCTGTTGACCGGGAGGGCGGGGCCAAGATCAGGGTTGGGCCAGCCAGGCACCCATAGAAGAGACAGACTGAAAGCTACCACTGACCTACTTACTCTGTGTGTGTGCGTGCATGATTACTATTTGAACATCAGCAGATAGAAGTTTTGCTTGTGTGAAAAAGGAAACCTCTCATTGGCTGAGTTAAACCTCAGTGGTGGAGTTTCAGGGTCACATTTGTTTTATTTAGGTAAAAATTCAATGATCAAAACTCAAAAAGCTAAACCGGCTCCATGGAGAAATGTAGACTAAGTTTATAAATGAATCATGATCCTGGACAGCATAAAAAAGCCAATTCAACTGATTCACATACTGAAGGTCAGGCAGAGGAACTAGGTAGATATGTTTAACCAGCTTGTATGGCCAGTTTGCATTTATTAGTAAAATTAAATAGTACTTAGCTACCACTTCTCATTTTTAACTGGAATTTAGTCTGAGGTGACTTCAACCAAAAAAAACCTATAAACCTCAAATCAGCCCGATAGCTTAATGAAATACAATTATTTGCACTACACAACTATATACTGTATTCACATGTCTATATTCAGCCTTTTTCAGAAACAATATTTATCCTAAAGCAGATGGAGTAATTGATGCTAGTTTCATGTTTTGACATTATACACATTACATAGTGCTAGTGTGGCATTTTTTAAAAACATTTTTGGTACGTCTGAAAACACCTCTTACTTGCATATACAGCATACCGTACAGTATATGCACATACTGTACACATATACTTGTAAAGACACATTTTACTTAACCTCTAATTCGTATGTACTTGTATTGTAACTAACCTATAAACATGTTTATACTGTAGCAGTACAACTTGTCACACGTGATGGTCACTCCGGCCTGACATCACTGTGAAATGAAATCTGTGACATGAGCAGAGCAGAAAAGTAGAACTTGTGACATGTTTCCATTCATTGTTTCCTGGGATCCAGGGCCTTATCAGTAACCGTTTAATGCTACCCACATCATCAATTTGTCTTGCTGGGGGGAACAGAGGCCACTCCAGTTCCCATCCAGACATCTCTAATATTTGATTTCATAGTTTTATTATTTTACTTTATGTTTAGGATCAAACATGTTGTATTAAGTGAATATAAAAAAACATATAAATGTATGATTCCATTATTTTTATTAATCAAAACATAATTTCACATTTTTCATTCACATAGAAGACCATTATGTAGTGTGTAGCACCTTGTGAAATGATTGCTTATTCCAGTCATTCAGTTACCGATTGAGATCCTTGAGAACTTGCAGACAAAAGTTAAAATATAGTGTAATTTGGGGGAAAAATTATGATAAAAGGCCCATTCAGAGCACAAATATTCATTATCACTGAGAAAATTACAAAACACTTCATCACTCCCAAAATTCTTATTTAAATTGTTATTAGGTCTATAATTTTCAAATTTTTTATATTTGGTAATTATAACAATTAAGAAACTAAGAGGGGTTAAAAACACACTCGATGTGTCCTTGGCTGTGGGCCCTGCGTGCTGATCTTAGTGCTCCTTCTTCAGCTTGGCCAGACCCATGAGGAGCTGGTCCCTCCTCTCAATCCTGGCTGACAGATGCTGCCGGTCGTTGGGAATCAGCTCAGACATTTCCTGTGGACAGCAGGGAGGGGAATGTGAGAAAAAGAAGACCATTAGAACAAAGATAGAGGACGTTCAGGTGACAGGACCACCAGCCATGTTGGAGTTCCTCTAGAACTGGAAATCAATGGATATATAGAAATATGCAACAGTTATTACAAACTGATTCTCTCAACACGTTTTGTGTTTGAGTAATATCAGTTTGTTAGCCACATAACTAGCAAACGACCACTGTTCTGCTGTACACAGCTGAAAAACAGGTGGCACAGACACCTAAGGTTTGAGTCATGTGATCTGGCAAACACAGTTAGTCGTGCTTGTGGCTAATAAAGGTGGTGAGGCTGCTCATCCTTGGTACTGGTTGGTTGGGGTGCCTTCACAGCAGGGGTGGAAATGGGGGGACAGTATGAACCTTGGTATGTTTCACCCTCTTGGTGAAGCTCGCTGTTTGCAGATAAAAAGAAGAGGCTGGCAACAACATGCATTAGGAAGGTGGCATGTCTGTCTGCAGCCCTCTACAGACCAAGAGCAGACTGCAACGTGAAGAGAAATGGACATTTCAGGAAAATAAGGGTTAAATCTGCAAACATTTAATACAATTTCAAAAATAAGTGAAACATGAATATAGCATGACCATTAGACAAGGCAAAAAGAGCCCCTCAAATAGTTTATTAATGTTATCTTCTAACCTTGGGTTAGCATTTCAGTTCTTACAGCTTTGGACTTAAAGCTAGAGCTAAAGGCAAGATTGCATGGGGATGCAGAGAAATTCTGGTCTGAGTTTGCTGGAAGACTTCATACTTTTTTCCTCCGACTCTGGGTTGTTGTTGGAATCTGTTGCAACTGAATCCAAACGGACTACAGCTGCTGTCCTCTATGAAGGTGCAAGAAACAAACTGCCACCTTTCAAACTTAAAAGGACATTGAATGTTTGATACCCCAAACTGTGGTTTTCAGTAGAGTAGAGTTCCTTTAAAACCGAAGAAGGCCAAAGTTAATATGGTGGGATGTTTTGTTCTTGCATGCATCGCTGCCTTTGTACCTTTAGTCACAGCAGAAAATGTTGCTCCAGAGTGTGAAGCTGTATAACTACTGACAATGAATACAACTAGTTTAGTTAAAATGCAAATGCATTATTCAAAGGGAATGTCAGTGGGAATATGGCTTTCTTAACTCCCCACCCGTACACTGGCGCAGAAGGTTTCTAAGTGAGGCCAAAAGAACCAGAAAACAAGATGGACTGCTACTGCTCTCTGAGCTAGTTTACCTTAAACCATTTATTGCTCTGGCTTAGGGTTTCCTCATATGATGACCTTCTGTGGCTAACATTTTACCAGCCTGTGATAGCATGTGACTTAGTAATGCCTACTTAGGAGAGAGCTATTTTGCGCTGGGTGAGAAGGCCCTCTTGACTTTCAGTCATGCAGAACTAAAGACTCCATAAACAAATGTTCTCTTCATGCGACTGAATCAGTGGGAAGAAATCATAACAGCCAACATTATCCGTTTTGATAAAACCTCCTTTGATCTGCATGAATGAATACTGTTACATTTCACATTTATACAGAACAGTGCAGCGTCAGGTAAAGCATGGTCTCTTTTGCTGCCGTCATACGTACATTAGTGATGCTCTTGGCTCCCTCACCGCAGAAGTCTGGTACTGGCCCAAAGGAGTTCAGAACCCTGCTTATGCCCTCTCCATACCGTTTCATATAATCTTCCAAACCTGTGGGAAGACAGCGGATCAGAGGGGGAAGGCCAGGAATAAGAACATGTGTAAATAACATGAATCTTGCAGCAGTTGGTTCACATATGCATCATGAAATAGTCCCCACAGCCCCAAAAACAGGCAGAGTGAGAAGCTTTCTCTTAAAAGTGAAAATTCTGTTAAAAATATCACAATTTGATAGGTGTCCTCACCTATTAGGCGCTCCCTGCAGATGGACAGTGACAAACGTATTGTTGAAGACGTGAAAATACAGAATGGAAAAGTGATCAGCTCCTTCAAATAAGTTTAAAAACTCATTGTGAATACATTTCTGTGAAGTTGTGCATTTGCAATTGAAGGCTGGAACACACTTCTTGGGGCTACATGTAAGTGAATGTGCACATATACAGAGACACTTGTTACTGTTTCTCTATACTTGCTACTATGAATGAACTTTAGAAATACCGTCCTTGTTATAAAAAAAAATCCCACATTGAACCCACTGGCTGACAGATATTGGTTCAACAATTTATGCACAGGGCCATACAACACATTTTGAGAGATGTGCATGTTAGATCCTCTGTGACCTATGTTCTCTTGTATATGAAATGTGCCTTTTTGATATTAAAGAAGAAGTTCAGATGTAAAAAAAGAAAGAAAAAGAAAATCCTATGGTCACCCATTACACCCTTTTCTGTGTACATCTACACAAAGTGAAAATACAGCTACAGAATGGATGATTCTAACAACTGTGAATGCATTTGTTATATCTCAAAGCTTCAATACAATGTCATAAAGTAATGCTATTTTCTTTTTTCTGTAGTTTTCATATTTCCTGCAACAGATTTATTTTATACCAGCATCAGACTTTTTAAATTTGTGGACTCCACGGACAAAAACCACAAGAGGTGTTCATTGAATAAATGTTGCGCTTCTGGATGTCATAAAAAGATGATGTCAGTCCCTCTGTAATCAGAATCCTTTTATAAGTACATGTTGAATGCTTTATAAATAACTCTCAGGTCGTTCCTTGGGGCTGCGATTCCTTGAGTTATTCTCTTATTATTCACATTGATTAATCTTTAATGACTATTTATTTGCGACACACTGGTTAATGATTTATGTGCAGCCTAAATAAACTGTTAAAGATTAATAAACGAGGGTGCTGGTTTCCTCTACTCAGCACAGCAAAAAATTCAAAAACATTAGTGATTAATTCAACATTAAGCACACAACCAAATGTTTGTGGATCAAATAATCGACTGTGTCCCATAATTTGGATGTAGAAAAATGGCAACACACATCTCATGGTCTCTGAGGCAACACAGGTCCCCATAATAAGCAATGACCAGACAAATCGTCATAAAGAGGGCCAGTGGTATGGTTTGTTGACATTCCTGTGATAAGAAACACAGCAGGTGAGGACTAGCTCTCGTAAAAAGCCAGTGTGGAGCAATCTGAAAGACGTTCCCAAACTAATTCACACCAGCTCTTTAATTAAGGCAGGTCAGTAGGTGCCCATTTGAAGTAGTTCTGTCACACTGAAATGAAGTTTCACACACAGATTTAAAAGTGTGACACTTGTACATTATTTAGTTAAATAAACAGGAAACTTATTCTAAAAAGCTTTTAGTTATCTCTTTTACGGTTGTTATTTGAAGTTTTAGACCAAATAAAATAAAATCCATTCACTATCCCATGTTTAATTCTGAAGATGAACTTTGAATGTTTACATGAGTGGGACACACTATAGTGTATATGACACAGCCGTGTGAGAAGTACCATCTACCTTCAACCAAACACAGACTTTGTGTGGGAGGAAAACATAAGTGTTATTTCAAGCTATGCAATTCCTCCTTTGCTGCCACTGTCCAACCTTTCTTAAATGTCTGTATTCTATGGATTAAAATCATGGCTCAAGCCCAGCAGTATTACAGTACATATGGATCTGGCACATATTTGTTTAGAGTGAAGGATTTAAATAAATGGCCCAATGCCCACAACAACTACCTGTGTACTGAAGACCTCTACAGACGTTCAAAATGAGTGGAAAGTTAAAAACTTCAGCTGTGATAGGTTAAAAATGAAAATGTTTTTCCCCCGTTGACCTTCCACGTCTTCCACCTTGTGTCATTACACAGGACTTTGAAAACTTTCCTTCAGTTTGCTCTGGAAGAACAACATAACATTTACCTGTTTTGTGCCTTAAAGGAATTCAATGGATTAAGGTGGAATCAAACACAGATAATCAAAATTTAAAATGCATTATGCATCATCATGATGGTCTTGTTAGCTGAAAGTTTAATAAATAATGAATCAGATAATCATATTGTATGTCTCAATATGAATGTGGCGATGACTGAATGAATGTAGCATTACAAGATGCCCAAACAAGCACCTCACTTTGTTGTGTCCAATGTTTTATTGGCAAACTGTTTATCTTTTAAAAAGGTCCAGTGTGTAGGCAGTAAGTGCAAAAGAGCAACTACGGTGGCAGTGAAACGCATTAAAAGTGTCTATCTAGAGCCAGTGTTAGGTTTGTCTGTTCAGGGCCACTGCAGACACAAGCCGGTTCAACATGGCGGACTCCGTAAAAGGAGAACCAACATACCGATTATTATTTTCAGGTGATTATACACTAATAAAAAAATAATTAGATTTCTTCCATTAGCTCCTCCTAAATGTGTATGTGTATCTATCTTTTTTTCTGTTAAGGAAAGCAGCTGTGATCATATTGGAGTTACAGTGGTTGCAATGGTTCCCATAGAAAGTCCTCAGTCCATAAGCCACTCCTCTGCTCTCCGCTTGTGTGCTCCATATGTTCTCAACACTCACACACACTAGTGCTGTTAGCTGTACCTTTCTCTTATGCAACAACATTTGCTTCTGTTGGTTGTAAATGACAAACATAAACACCTAACTTGTTTAGATTATACTGAGAATACAGGTGGAGAATGGTGAGGTGCATCATGCTGCGGGAGTGTTTTGAAAAGTTTCCATTGACATTTTGATGACTTTTTGCTGTGAAACTGAACCACCATTTGAACACCTTGTAGATGTTGTGAATCCAAGCTGATTACACGAAGGAGCAAGCTACAAACATTTCAGAACCTCCTTCATGACTACAGACAGCAGTTTTTCAGTGGATTATTCCTTTAAAGGATAATGCTCTCCTGTACAGGTACATGGTTTACAAAAGCTAAGTCATTCAGAGTAGAAAGACAGAGACAGAGCCTGAGTGCTCCAGTATCTGATTGGAATGATTTAAGGACGGGAAGTCACAACAGGAGTAGTTCTTAGCAATCTTTTGAGAACATGATCATACTACTGTTTCCTGAGCACTGTAACTACAGATAGAGTTGGCACCTGGTTTGAAGGCCGCGATGTGGGCTCTGTGAGTTTTGGATTACTGGTGTGAGGGAGTGCATTCATTGCTACCCATCAAAAGACGGCTTTGTTCTGCCAAAGCGTCCTTTTTGTGTGTGTACACAGTCAGGGTCACTCTCTGGGTTTCACACCCCCCTTTGATATTCTCCATCTCCCTGAGGTTTCACTCTCGCTCTCTCTCTCTCTGACACACAGAGGAACGCTACAGTATGGTACAGTACATGTATGCTGTGCTGTGACATGTGAGCTATATCACTGTTGACTCTCACATTCTTTATCTAAGGTGTATTACTCTGATTACTGTCATCACAATATTTTCTGACCTAATTGGCTTTGGTATGTTTTGACTCAAGTACTTATCTTCCCCAGTATATAAATTACATCTGTCACAGAAGGTGTAGGTTCTCCTTCAGTGCTGGAATAAAAACTGGAATGTTGTAATTGTGTTGAACAAACAGAGATTATACTTTGAAACTACTTTACTTGATTCAGTCATTTTAAATATGTATCCTCTCATTCTTTTTGTTTTACATGCATATATGAAGGCTGTTTGCAAAATGTTTCAGATTGCACCAAACTGAACACAGCTCGCATCTCTATCTGACGACCTGGAAATGAACCTTCTATTTATGTGAGTAAAAAGTCAAAAGAGGGAACATTACCTTCAGGTGCATTGAGGTGCATCGTTTCCATGGGACCTATAAAGGCGTAACGCATTCCTAGCCCCTCTGACATCACCAGGTCGATGTCCTTGACAGAGATAATGCCATCCTGATTGAGTAATAGAGAAAAAAAAGAGTTAACTAATTTCACTGACTTGATTTACATGAATCTCCCTTTGTCTTCCTTATAAAAAGGTAAAAATCAATCAGTCAGTAAATGTATGGTGAGATTGCCCTACAGCAGCTTTAAAGACACATATTCTCTTTACATGTTAGAACAGTTAAAAGAGATAAAAGGTCAACCAGAACTGCGTTTCTCGTGTTCCTGTGTGGAGGATTTGATGGCGCTGGTGCTACCAACAAACAAACATAACTCCTGTTCTGAATAAAACTGCAGCTCAAAATGTAGTCAAAAGATGTAAGAATATATTTTCCCTGGAAGTTCAACAAAGTCATGGCTTTTTACCCCCAGGGTTTTGGACCCACCAAATTCCCTTTGATCCCATCAGACTACTCCCACCATATAAAGTTTCCCTAATCAGCCAATTCTGTGTCCTCAGGATTATACAGTCAGTACAGGGAGGAGAGGGGCTGAGGATGGAGGGATGGATGGAAGGAGAGACAGAGGGGGAGTGGTTCAGGTATCTTTGGGTTAGAGATACCCGTTGGCCGACCATGGAGGAAATCAAAGCTTGGATACAGATACAGAGAGTAGAGTGCGCAAGAGAAGAGGGACAGGGTCGTCTTTGTTTGGGTCCTGCGTCCAACAACGGGCCTGTTATCTGAGCAAAGCGGGATGGTGGGTGGAGTCTTTTCTCCACGGTAATCACTGGAGGCAACCAGCCGCTTTCTCAGCCGCTCTGCTTTCCAACGCTGGCCCTGACTCAAGGACCATTTTCTGTTTGTGTGTGCATGTTTGGAGGGGTGAGGGAAGGTCCCCGTTATGCAAGAGGGATCACAAGACCACTCTCAGTCCACAGGCACTGTTGCTCAGTGTTGAACCTCTGGTCACATTTGATGTTTTGTTCTTTTTTGGAGTACCTTTATTCTATTTCGAGGGTTTAACAGAAAGTGATGGCGCCTATAAACTGTGACAAAACTGCACTTCTGTTTCTGCTCAAATTAACAGAAGGTCACCTTCTTGTAGGGTATAGGCTCTGTTTTTACACGTTCTCTAAAACACCCTGACAAAATACCTACGCTGAAAACACGGCAGTGAAATAAATGAATAAATTATGATTTTTCCAGCTTAGTCAGCTGATGTTTCTGAGCCCTTCTGTTGGATTAGTAACCCGTAACAACAGACAAAGTGAAACTGTGCTTCCTTGTGAAATTGGTGGTTCTGAATGGTTGGTTGCTGGTCATGAGGTGGCTTCCACTGGTTTGTGGCTAGTTACATTTGTGGCGAAATGGACATGAATATGAAAACCCTCTTAGGCAGAGCTTGGTCATATAACAACTTTAATACAATAGGTCTACTTGTCATATGAGGAAAGGCACAGGTGTTACTAATAACATTAACAATGGCTCTGTCTGTTTGACTGTCCCAGTAGGTCATGACAGTGTTTCAGTGAGCCAGTACGCATAACACCAGGACCTTGAAACCAAAGGATCTACATGGAAATTAGGCATCTTTAATTTTATAAGTTACACATGTGCTTTACTGTGACATGTCAAAATGTCTTGTGGGAAAAAGGCCTATAGCTTCCTCCATTCTGGACTCTCCATTTCCTCGAAGGTCCCCACTGATAAGATAGTTTGCAATTGGTCAATGGCGTAAATTTAAAATTGTATAATTACTGAAATATACTCAAATGAAGGATTTACTACTAATTTCTGCAATTCAATTCAAATTAATTGATTTTAGACCCAAATTTCGCTGTCATAAAGGCTGGCGTGACTGAGCTCAGGGGGACACAAATAATTCTGTACTTATTCTCATTCTACTTGTTCCCTGCACATTTTAATTATGGTGTAAATGAACTGCTCAGGTGCCTGACACAAAATGTTTCACTCACCAACCATTTTATAGATCAGAAATCATTAAGTGGGTGTCACTGCATCGTGAACTCTATGACTGGTGTGAGGGAGTGCTAGATGTCAACCAGTCACAATTGCACACAGCTGTACAGTGACTACAAAGAATACAGAAAGGTGTGCACCGTTTACAGGTAACTGAAGAGCTCTGATGTAACAGCATCGTCAGTGTTCTTTATTAAAACTCATACAGCAGCTGAAAGGCAAACCTATTCTATATTGATAAGATAATATAAGATAAGATATTCCTTTATTTCTCCCACAATGGGGAACTTCCAATGTTGCAGCAGCAAAGTGGATAGAGAAAAAAACAGTATAAAAAACAGTAAGAGTAGGAAAATAATAAATAAAAACACTGTACAAGAGAGAAAAAATTGTGTTGGATTATTAGCTTCTTCATAACTTCTTGTTTAATTATACATTATAAAGTACACTATTATTTGCTATTGGCCAACAATTTATGTTGTTATTGTATGTATGTTATTATATTGAACGTGTGTTGCTCAGTATAACACAAATGGTAAGAAAAGCTTTCATTTTCTGTTACCTTTTTTAGTCTGTCTGAAATAGTAAAACTGGACTGGAGGTAACTTTTTCAACATTTTGTTTCTTTGCAATGTCCAAACATTACTCATCATGAGTTCCAGAGCTCAACATGACATCACTAAATTGGTTGTTTTGTGTGACCATTACTCCAAGATATATAATGTCCAACTTTCACTGTAGCAATTGCTACCCTTCCTGAGTGGGAGATAGAATTTGTTAGTACTGGAATGTAAACCTGGTTCAGCATTATTGATTTCCACCTAGTGTTCCTCTCCTTCTACATGGTAACCTCATTTTAGAAAAATGGCATGGCTGGTCGACTAGTTCATCTAGTTCACCTGCCCTTGGCTCTAGCAGCAATAAAGATTCACAGCTTATCTCTATCTCCAGTGGAGACAAAAATAGAAGCACCTGCTTGTTATGGTGAATCTGTGTCTTCTTCTGAGACACATTCAGGTTCAGTATTAGATTATTTGACTTAATTAGAGCCGAGCCCACATCCCAATGACAATTGAGAATAATGACTGACTGATGTTCAGGATTTACCTGTTAATCAACACTGACAAGAGGAACTGTCAGAAAGACAGAAAGTTCTTGTCAGACAGGTTTGCCCGTGTTTTTTAAATTGTTCAAAAATTAGTCAAAAAACTGTAGGCACTACAAGGCTGGCTCTGTTCCATTTAATTGTCACAATATACCATGTTAGTGAGCCAGCACGCACAGTAACAGGCTCTATCAAGTGAAATACCTAAATATAACAAGACATCCATCATTTATGTTATATATCATTATATGCCAAGTCAAAATATCTGCTATAAAAAAGGTCTCTTGATGCTCTGCCCTGAACAAAACAGAAAAAACGAACTACATCATGTCTATATCAGCTGTTTTTCAAATGTTAATTACTTGTTTCATTATGTATTTAATTTGCAAATATGTTTTGCAAATGTGTCCAAAATCTAGCCGAACCTCTCAATATAACAACTAGGCCAGAAATATAAATAGGCAAAAGAAGTCAAAAATGATTTTACATAATCTCTGTGTTGATTTGAAAATGTTCTACTATGAGAATAATAAGGCTTAGTAAAGCATGTTTGGGAGCATCGTTTCTTGATTGACAGAAGCAGAAAGCCACAGTGGTTATTGTGTATTTTGCCTCCAGCACCTGACAACATGATGGTTAGTGGTAAACCATAAATTTGAAAAGTATTGATGTCAGAGAAGTTGCATCCTTGTTTTTCCACAGCTTATGAACTAAATGCAGAACAGATGAGACATGTCTGTGGTGACTGTAGAGCTCTCAGTTGAAATATGGCAGAAATGAATTTCTGCTACATTCTTCTAACACAGACAAGTTGTATGTTAGGAGATACTTGCTTGATAGAGACCCTGTGTTTTCAGACAGAGACTTTATGTAACCCCAAGGGGAAATTTTCATCTCATAGCAGCAGTACATGAACGAACACAACGCGGTACAAACAGTGCTGAAACTAATTCTTTCCCCTGTTCTTCCTTGTCGGTTAGCCTTTTATTTTCATTTGTACTTTGCTGTGAACAGTTTCAGTTGATACTGCGCCTGACACTTTAACAGCAATGTGGCATGTTTGTCAGCTAGGACCTAAGGGTGCACTCAGGGTTAATTCTACTCAGCAGACGCCTCGCAAGTGAGTGATCGACGCACGATATGGAATGTCATGTAGATATGAGTCTGAGCTTCCACAGGCCTGTGTGAAGACACAAATATCACATAGTGGATGCATGAAACCTAAGTTACAGCCAGTACAGACACAGTAATCACTGCTTAATTTCCTTGAGATATGCTGAGAGTTTTCATTCTCAGAAGTTGAAAGCCAGCGAAATGTTACTCCCAGTGACTGCTGTCGTCTTCTTGTGTTCAGCATTGACTGAACTAACAAGGGCTTTCACCTGACTGCAGGCCCACTAGGCTCTTCGGTGAACCCAGAAGCTCCTCTTGAAACAAAGAATACAAAGTAATTCGAGCGGAGTCAGAACAAAAATCTTAATCTTTAAATCTCTGTTGTTAAGTTAAAAGTGTGACAAGCCAAAGGTGCTTTCTTTGTTGCAAGTCATCCATGCTTTCATCCCATTGGTGCCTCTGCTGGTCTCTAAAAAAATGCAGCCAACATAAATATTCAATAAAAGTCTGCCTTAATGCACCATTACAAAAAAGTCCTGTTTCACATTTCAATGAAAGAGAAAAACATGCTATTGTTTCAACAGCTCACAATGTTTGCCATGAAAATGGTCAACTGAGGGATATTTAGAAAGCTAAAATATGTGATCAAATTGATGATGATGTGTTTAAATCATTTTGATGTTAAAATATACCTTAATTTAAATAACAAACAGTATAACCACCATACGGGTCCACAGGCTTGCTATTGGCTCTGTGAGGTTGTGCTTATAGGCTCAGCAGTCTTTGAGCTAAATACAAGATATTCCACTCCAAACCACAATGTCAACCTCATGGTGGCACTTGAAGTAAAAGTCACTAAAGTCAGTAGAATTCATTATCTGAAGACCATGATTGTTTCATGGCAAATTTCATTGAAATCCATTTAATAGTTGTTGAGATCTTTGAGTCTGATTAAAACTGTCCAACCATGACATTGTCATCCACACTGCTACTGTGGCTAAAAAGGAACATACAATCAACATTTCAGTCTCAACATATGTAGAACTAATTCAGTTTCTTATAGGTTATTACTTAATGCAGACTCATTGTATTGGATTGCACTTAGTTAAAGTCACCGTTCTGGCAGTCGTCTATATACTATAAATATTTTAAGCATGGGGAAAAATCACCCAGCAACCTGAACACAAACAAGTGCTACTATGAAGATGAATGTTCTGAATCTCAAGCATTTGTTTCTGCATTCTACTGCACAATCCTATCGAGGGCTTGTGTGTAATTTTCAACTAATCATTCAGTTGACGTCTTGGAGTTTCATTGGAGGATGTCTTGACATCAAGAATGCGGCAATTGACCCCAATATTGTAAATGACCTTTGAGAACAAAGATGCCACAGAGATGCAAGAGTTTACCTGAGGGTGCAGTAATAGAGCTAATGCAGTTGACCAGCCTGTTCTGACTGTTTGTGCACATTCCTCTAGTGGACAACATTCAAATCATCACTTTCCTTTGTTTAAAATTAGATCAGATGATCTGATCAGATCAGATGTCACTCTTCATATCATGCTTGTGCTATCACATAATTTGGTCTGATAGCGATTGCCTAATAGACCCAGAAAAAAGTGTCCTCAACATTAATCTGCTTTAAAGCTGCAAGCACTACACCAGCAGCAACTGGTTTTTGTGGAGTTGTATTAAGTGCCGTTTCAGAGCTTGTACATCTTGACATGGTTGAAATCAAGTGTGAACCTATCGTGATAGGTGATATCACATTGGTTTGTGGAGTAGAACATACTGTGAGTTGATCTACGCTCATTGGCTGTGCAGTTTTGACTCGTGTGTAGCAGGAAAAACAATGATGGCTCGCCTGGTCACACACAATCTTGTATAACAGCTAAACACTAAAATTGAACACTACACTACACTAACTGAATTTCAAGCGAGAAATTGGCAACACAATAACAGAATCTAGCCTCGTATTTGATCAGCACTGCCTAGTTTGAGAGTTTGATCTGAGTTTCGTGTGCTGTGCTGGACAGACTCACTGAGAGTCAATCAAAAAGTAGCCCCACCCAAAAGCATATGTGGCTTTATTGTCTATTTTAAATTAAATTGGACCATAATTTACTAAATGAACATCCTAATGTATTGAAGATGTGAAACTGGCGACTGAGACTCTAAACTCATCAGGAAACTGTTTACTGAGCTCATAAAGGAAGTGTCAAGTCGGCTCATTCACCATTAAAGTGAAATGGGATCGCTGTGTTATTGCAGCCAATGGAGCTCCCCCTGCTGAAATGTATTTCAATCGGATCCAGAAGCTCTGTCCATTATATATACTGTCAATGGTTGAAATTTAAGATAATATTTATCAGCAACTTGTGAAATCATTTGTATAAGTATTCAAAAACATGTTGATTTAACACTACTTTAAATACAGCTAGCCTCAAGGCAGAGTATAAACTCATACAAATCAATGGACAGTCTATTATTAGTTTACAGTATTAGAAATTTCCCTTCATGCATTCATCCTTCATTATTACTGTAGAATTCTTTCTAGAGTGTAAAAAATATATTGAGTGTGAAGTCACATGACTTGAAAAAGGAACGTCTGTCATTCACTGAACAGCATTTATGTTTGCTTCCAGGCAACGTTTGTTGTGCAAGTACAGCTTGCACTGACTACAAGACGAATTGCATTGGTTAGTTCAATGGAACAACCTTCTCTGTCGAAATAGCGGCTGAGCATCACACACCCATATTGTTGTTGTCAGCAGTCGAAGTTGGGTCATGATTAATTCAGTTCACAGTTCTTTGTTTTGTTCTTTTTTAAATGTTATGGAGTTCTGTTGCTTACCGTGTGTGTGTGTGTGTGTGTGTGTGTGTGTGTGTGTGTGCAGGAGTGAGAGAGGGGTCACAGTCGTTGTCCATCTGATACCGTTACAACCTGTGACTTAGGAGTACAGTGATGTCAAAGACAAGGATACAAAGTGCTGATTTAGTTGTGAAAGGGCTGCTCTTTGTTACACATCTCCAACAGAGAAAAGAGACACTGATTTACGTCCCTCTTCAAGGCTTTTATGTGTCTGTGTCTATGTGTGTGTCGACCCTGGAATGAGAGATGGGATTTGTTCTAACATACAGTAGTACTTTATCCCCACAGAGGGCAGAGCTAATTCATTACAGCTTTAATTACCTTGTAATCTAGTCAACAGTCAGCACAAAGAGGTTTTTGTTTGGCAGATATAACCAGTAAGAGATTTATTCCAAAGTCAGATATCCACTACTAACAGAAACTCAGACTAACTGGTTGCAGGCATCGACAGTACTGGTAATTAATCCTATTTTTGATGACAGATTTGTCTTTAAGGTAAACTCTATCTACTTTACACATCAAGACCAGTTTCACAGCCAAAGGAAGTACCACTCGGCCAGTGAAAACAACTGTATAGTATCTTCTGTGACTGTAGAGTTATGATGTCAAATCTGAGCGATGATGACCCTGATTATGTCATCAACTTGGTTCAGAGACAACGAATGCTCAACAGAAAGTCTGTGTTTATAGCATTTGAAAGACATAAGCATTTATTAGGCATCAGTTGTATCAGAACTGGAGAGTATTCTTTCATTGAAAGAAGAGAAAAACAAACTGAAGAACTTTCTTGCTGGAAAAGCAGTTTTTGTTATTTTCCCGACTGGCTTTGGTAAGAGTTTGATTACGTTGTATGGTTCATTGATCTGACTGGTTGAAGTTCACCTGAGACAGATGGTGACAGACACATGGTTCATCCAATCGGCCTGCCAAGTATTTTCTGAAAGTGCCTTTTTCCAAACAGTTTCCAATGACAACATTCCAGATGGTTCTGTGTAACAAAGTGTCTAGCGAAGACAGGTTAGGCCTCTGCTGCAACAATTTGAAGTGCTAAATCACTGTAATAACCTGTTGATGCATTACCAGATACATTCCAGACTGTGTTTAATCAAAATTAATACAAAAATATCTAAGTAATTAAATAAGAAACAGAAAGTTTAAAAAAATGATATGCACCATGATATGTGACATCCGCTTTGTCTAGCAGATCCTCGCCCATTTCAAACCAGTGAGATGAGTCCACACAAAAGAGACTCTGATTCAGAAAAAATCAGTTATCTGCGAAATAACCAAAACTGTTGTAATGTCGACATATGTAGTAGGCCATCACTCTTTGAACTGAATGAAAGAAAAAAGAGAAAAAGTCTTTTAAATCTTGTAACAATATTCATATATGTGCATTCTAAAAAGAAGACCTAGCCAAAACAGTCCAAGAGTTACTGATGGACAGGACAGAATGGACAATATTACAACATGTAAAATACAAAAAAAGAAAGGAAGAGCCATGAAAAAGAAACAAGAAAGAAAGTCGAGATTGAATATTTACTACAAAAGTTTCGTAATCTTCTACAGAAAGCAAAGAGGATAATTTGAGGCAGTTATGATGGCAGTATTCATGTGAGTTCAGTTCAGGTAACAACTGTCATTCTAACCATTTCTTCCGTGAGCGATTATCTAATGGTTTCTGTCATCATAGGCTAAAGCTCATTTACGCTCATTGTGTTCCTTTTTGGAAGGAGACAGTAGAGATTATGGTGAGCTGACAAGGGACTTCCTCTATTACAAAACCATCATCAGCACCACTCAGCCACACAAAGCCTCACTGAGACTGAGGAGCTCTTGTCCAGAAATAAAAACAAACATGCACACATACATCCCTGTGCACCTAAAGTTATGAGGACACACATTAGGATCTAGGATTTTTGTAGCTCACTCCAGCTAAAGGAATTTGAGCTTTTGCAGAAAATTAATAAAAATAATTATAATAATAATAATAATAATAATAATAAACCGGCACAAACACACTAGGGTTCTACAGCTTTGTGGTTTGAACGCTAATTATGGATGAGTCCTCCTCCTCCTCCTCCTCCTCCACAATCTACCCAGGTGCCGCGCCACCCCACACCCAAACCAAACGGAGAATTTCTAACATGTGAGAACATGTCTGAAACGGACAGTCTGAATGTCAGAACACTGTTCGGTGTTTATATGTAAAAACTGCTCCAGACACTGACCTGGACAAGTCTCCAGGACTCTGCGATAATGGCCGCTTGCACTCTGTTGAGAGCAAAGCCATCGATCTCCTTCTTCAGACAGACAGGTGCCTGGCCAACCTGAATCAAGAGAAATCAGTGATGTCAAGAATGGCAATAGTTCCTAAGAGACGATAGTTGCGATTGCGACACCTGCACGCATTGCAAATTAAGTCAAAGTTTTACATTATTTACATTACTGCCAACCTTAATACACCTAGGGATTTGAACTGCTTCCTTTCAGGAAGCCACTGGTTTCCATTTATTTCAGCATGGTATGAAATTCAGCTTGCAGAGACTTGCAAGGGTGTGCAACTTGCTTGGTATATGTAATCGCTCACAATGAAGTATTTGTTGCCGTTATTTTTTCGATGTTTGTTATGATTGTGTGATAATCCAGGGACTAGTGACACATTCTCATCCCAGATTTGACAGATCTATGACTGTATTCACAGATAAAATGTCCAACCTAAAATATAACTAACAAACAAATGGACATTGTAAAAAGAATTCTTACCAACCTTAAATATATAACTGTAGTTCTGGGCTCCATTCATTCACTTGCATTTGACTTTGGACATACCAGTAATTGACAACCCAGGATAATGTAATCTTGGATCTTTACCTTGGTCATTAGGGCATGGGTGGTGTCCACAACAGTTGTTGCTGTCTCTGGGTGAGGTACCAGCTCCACCAGTTTGACATAGTAGGGTGGGTTTACCTTGAAAGCACAGAACAATCAGCAGTAATGGGAATAAAGGCGTTATAAATAAAGGCGTTACTTTTTTCAGTAATGAGTAATCTAATTACTACTAATGTAATTGTTACCGTTACTGCCAAAAAATGCGGCACGTTACTATAATTTAAGCTGTTTTTTTCATCAGACCAACTAGATCTCTGAGCCGAGAGGCAAACACTATTTTTTACTGTTCTTCCTTGGTTAGTGGGCAGTGCACGAGACAAGCGCATAAATGCTGACGACTGGCTGAGGTTGAGTAAAATTTCATGGTAAGCCAATCAGAAGTAGAGTTGGGCGGGTGTTCGAAAGCACGCATAGTCGGACACACAACGAACAACACAAGTGAGTCAGTCAACGAGAGACAGGTATGGCGAGTTGTGTTGCATCTTATCACATTTGCACTAAAAAGAGCGTATATATTGTTTGAATACATTTTTGGTACATTGCTTAAAGAGCATCATTTAATTTAGATTTATTTGTTGGCTGTGGCTGCAGCCTCTTGAAGTGAGATTGTCAATGGCCAGAAAAAGAGATTTATTTATTTATATATGTATTTTTCATTTCGTATGTATTACCTGTTTATATTTGGATTCCTTGGTTTTGCTATACATTGTACTTTTCAGTTAGATTGAAAGCACCTCATATTGTTACACTGTTCTACTTTTTCGAGGAAGAAAATACTTGAAGTACAGTATACCTACCGATTGTCTGAAGTTTTTTTTGTTTTATTTGCACTACAAAGAGTGTATATATTTGTCATTTATTTTTGGTATAGTGCTTAACAAGCATAATTTAATTTTGCCCAGTTGTGGCCTGTTGAGGGGCAATTAATATCAAAAGTTCCAAAACATCTATTGTGTTATTTTTATCGATCCACTATATAAACATAAATAAATAAATTTCTACATACATGGCATTTGATTGGAGGCTAGTCTCACTTTGTCCCACAGCAACATTAAAATAGTTTAGATTTGTGTACATTGTTTCTGTTAATAATGTATTGTATTAAGTGTCCATTTCATTATAATATTCAGATTTATCATAAATAATTGAACATGCACATGTATTTTAAGTTCCGTTAAAGAGGGGTGGAGGTGGGGTCACATTTGAGCATTTAAAACTTTACTTGAAAGTTACGCAATAGTTACTTTCTGAAGTAACTAGTTACTTTTATAATTTGTAACTGTGTAACTAATTTAGTTACTTTTTGGAAGAAGTAACTTGTAATTTTAACTAATTACTCTTTTAAAGTAACTTGCCCAACACTGACAATCACACAACATATAGTGGGTACCTCACTAAGACAAAGGATCTGTTGTAAAAAGCCTGAAAACTAATACTGTGATACTACTCAACAAAGCCTCAGCACCAACATTAACTGACTTGACCACCAACTGTGATCAGACCATGTAAAGTCAGTAGTATTTATAACAACTATCAACAGAACTAGTGATAGACCACTTAACCAGTTAGTCGATTAATCTGGCCCATTATGGTGGAAACGATGTTAGTGCTCCTCCTTGTGAGTTTTGGGAAGGTGGTGAAAAAGAGAGCCTTGGTCTACACTACAACTCTCCCATCCTTAATGACAGCCATTCGAATCTAAAACTGTTACTGCCAAGCGTTATGTTATAATGTATAGAATAATGCAGTTGGATGACATAGTTTCTGACTACTGTACCCCGCTCAAGTACAGCTCAGCCTTCCAAGCGTGTAGGAGAAAGTACGGTGGCTTCAAAATTCATAAAAAATGATGAACGGTTGGTTTGTCCATTCTGGGCTACTGTAGAAACATGGTGGTTCAACATGGCGGCCTCCACAGAGGAGGACCTGCTCCCTCTGTAGATAAAAATGTCTCATTCTAAGGTAACAAAAACACAACAATTCTCATTTTCAGGTGATTATACACTAATGAAAACACACCTATGAATATTATATTCCATTTCTGGCAATTGATTCTCCTAAATGTTACACACTGAACCTTTAAATACCAGTCACGCTGTGAAATCTACAGAATTTACCAAATGTATTTCAGTGTGTTTCTTAATTGATAAAAATGCCATCTAAAACAACCTATTACTGTTAGTATGTAAGGTGCATTAATGGAATTATACATGACTTTTCTGTTTTAATAACAGCACTATATATCGCATATTGCTTACATATGTCGGACAACCACTAAACAGAACTTTTTGTGAACAAATATCTACACATTTACTTCCTTGGTGAGAAGACACAACAGTATGTTATCCTACACCATTTCATTACACGCCTTTTTTAAACTAAAAATGTATTTGTCACCATGAAAAACAGAAGCACTGACAGATATTAACAAGATGAAGTAACAAATAATCCCTTTTAAGCTTGGTTGAGAACAACTAAACCTGTTGTTTAAACTTCAATGGGTGGGTAATGTTGAAAGTTAACACACTCTAAGAAGCTTACAAAATGACAGAAAAGAATTTGAAAGTCACCGTAGAAAATTTATCTTGTGATTAACACCTTTGTGGTTGACTAACATGAGCTAAAATGTTGATGACAACCCATCTGATACACTAGGCAAAGTAAAACACCAGTGTTATCATGTAAACTAGTGTTGGGCAGTACACTATGGGGCCGTCCACACAAATAAGTTTTTTTCGAATCGGGATAAATACTTTATTGTATCGGCCTCGCGTCTAGACGGATACGGCGTTTTCAGGGTGTGAGAAAGGGATTTTTTGGAAACGGGTCCCAGAGTGAGAAAATCAGAAAACGCCGGATTGCCCGGAGTCGTCTGGACGGCGAAAACGGAGAAACAATGACGTATTAGCCCGGCCTCTCTAGCCTTTAACCTCAGCCGCCACCGCCGCTAGACACGTCATAACAACAACAACAATGGCGGACTACTACTACTTGTTTGTAAACAGAGCATGCTCCATGGCTTCTCTTCCGGTTTTAGTGTATTGGTGTGGCGGAGTCACAGCGCCACATACAGGCCTGGCATATGTACTACAGCGTTTTGGGTCATTTCAGTGAATCCATGTGGACGCAGATATTTCTGGAAACGACGCCGTGTTTACGGAGATTTTTTTCTAAATGACATCGTATTGGGTGAGGCCGCGTATTCGTGTGATTTTTTTATAAAACACCATACCAACTTCAATAGGCAACAATATTGTTTTTTGCTGCGAAGAGTGCTACAGTCAGAGTTGAGCACCCGTTAACTGCGTATCCTTCTAACAGCTCTAACTTTATAACACAACTGTCTTTAACAGGGCAAAACATCATGGGACACAACAATTTGCAACAATGTGGTACATTTGTTTTTGACAGTCAGCAGGCATCACTGCCATTGTGATAAGGTGTGATGTTTGTGGCTAAAGGAGCTAGAGTGTCAGTAGTTAGTTTTCAGGGTTAACAGATAAAGAGAAGAAACAAAAAGGGACAATATAAATATTTGACAAAGAACAGGGGCCAGTGATAAAGATTGTGAGGTGAGTTGTCCCAGCCAAACAAGGACTGGTCTGTTTTAGCTATGGTTGACAACTCTGCCAACCACTTACATGGCAGTGGAAGTGGAAGTCATTTGGAAGTTAGGTTGTACTGTATAAATCCTCCTTGCAGATACAAATGTAAACAGCTGTTTATGGCTGTTTTTCCCCATAGGCTTTCACCTAATGGGCAGCCCTGTCCACTAGATATAGAAGTAATGCATGATATGGGAAATGAACTATGCTGACTTCCCCAGTTTGTAGTTTATCTCTTTCCACTACCCGCTGGTACCAGGACTGTAGCAGCACTAACCGGGTGGGAGACGAGGCAGCGACTCCTGTTCTGTACTTTAGAGAAGACGTTGCTTGGCACCAGACAAGAGGTAGAGCTGCTCAGGATGACGTCTTTTCCCACAAGACGCTCTATGTCCTGGAAGACGCTCTGCTTGACCTCAAGCTGCTCAAATACACACTCCTGGAAAACACATGGGCACACATACAGGTAAAGTGAACACATATACAGATGTACACACACACACACACACACACACACACACACACACACACACACACACACACACACACACACACACACACACACACACACACACACACACACACACACACACACACACAAGTTGTAAAGTCACCGAGAGAAATGTACCACTGTTGACCCTTCGTTTTCTGTAACACATTAAGTAAATATTATCTCTAGCCAAGATCTTTGTACATACAGTACAGTATATCCGTGCTTATCAAACCTTCCTTTGGATTCAAAAAGTATCAGTAGAGTAGTTGTCAGTAGAGAAAATGCCACCAAGGGTGAGTAAAAAGTTTAATTTTTTCTATAATTTGGGTTTAACTTTGTACGCTTTGTCATCAGTCATCATTTATCATGCAGTGAATATAGTAAAGATGAAAAAATTAATAATCACAACAATAAATAAACACTTAGTATTTTGTTTCTAGGTAAGCAGCTAACTTCTACTACATAGCCACTGAAGATGTACTCTGATAAATATGTGTAAGGTCAAATTGTTCCTACACTACAAAAACTGGATACAACCAGTTTGGGTTTGTACTGCTTTTTTAGGTCTGCCCTGACAGGGTTGGAAAGGAGTGTCTCTCAAAAGCAGTAGTGGAAAGTTAAAGGCTCTTCAAATGGCTTCAAATGCGTCAAGTATGTAGAACTGCAATAACTGGCTAGGCAAGCGGCTTACGTACTGAATGCATGCGTAATAATGTAATGCTCCACTCATTAACAATGCGAGTACGTAAGCGGGTTTCTGTTCCAAGGAAAATAACAGCTCTAATCAGACCTTTTCTATGAATGTACATCCTATTCATTCATCTTGCTCCTATTCTCAGTCTATAAATCGGTTTAACTTTGTACTTCTACTTTTCTACTATTTTTAAAGTTTTATTTGAGCAATTTCATGAATTATTTGACTTTTTAAAGTGATACTTTGATTTGTAGAAGGTCATATCTCCTCTCCCCCAACAGGGAAACAATAGATTTATCTGATTCAAGCACTGTGTTGGATATGGAAAAACAGCTGTCTGGAAACATATTGACAGAGGTGAGGAATGTGAGGAGTGCCATTGATAGTCTACTATCTAATGGTATGTCCTGTACTGTTCCCATGCAACAAGCATGAGGCCATGCAGCTAGCAGGCTAGTATGGATTAATGTCACTCAGGACTTATTGATTGATGTTCTGTGAGCAATCTGACAGAGACAAACTCCTGTACCTTCTCTACTCCTCTAGAAAAGCTGTGATCAATAACAGGGTAAAACTTGGATCAGATGGTGTCACGCTATCAGGAAATGTGAGGCTGGCAATGTGAACAGGAAAACTTTGCATTTTTCTACCTGGTATTTCCCTGTTTCTAATAAGTCCTCTATTGTTCCCTGTTAAGGTGAGTATTGATTTATTTTTGCCCTGCCTGTCCCTCTGTGCTCTGATCACCACTACAGGGATGAAAAACACTATTGTCTGCTCTGACAGAGTCATGGTTTCATACAGGACATTTTCTTGGCTTAAAAAGTTAACTTTCTATTGTTTTTTGTGAAGTGGCTACATTACACATGACTGAGTTAGGATAAGCAAGTATCCATTGTTGAGTCTGCGTTTGTGCTCCTACCTTGACAAAGACAAGATGAGTGCTTTGGTGTTAAAATGTCTGAAAGCTCCATTAGTTGGATTACATAACAGAAAGCTCAGAAAGGTCTGATATATTCAGGTTAGTTCGAAAACATCAAGTTGTGAGTTAATAGTAATAGTTACATACCAAAAGGTATGTAATTCTCAGATTAATAAATAGGTATTAGAAAGCGAAGTTACATTACACAAATTAGCCTAAGATCAGTGCATTTTATCAAAATCAAATCAAATTTGATCAATCACACCAGATCTAGACAGTCCAATCTCTTGGAATTGTACGCCCACAAGCTTATCAATTCCTTTTTCGATGAATCAGTGCCGCATGTTTTCTGACAGCTCCACTTTGCAAAACAATGGCGTCAAACTCATACATACATGCTGCTGGAAACTTACAAGAAGGACTCATGGTGGAGAGGAAGAAATGATCTAGAGCGTGGCTTCATTTCACAATGAAAGATGGCAACAGTGCTAGTGGTAAAGTTCGTAAAATTATCATTTTAAGTAACACCAGTAATATGCTCAAATGTATTGTATTTATCATAAAGATATATCGCGAGACACTTGACTCGCAATACAAGCATGTGAAGATTCAAATCAGTAAGATGAAAAATGACTTGTATCAATCGTGTTATCAAGGCACAAAAACATCAGATTCACTTTTACAAAGTAAAGGAAATATGCATTGTTTTGCACAGTTTATACCACTACCTCAGAAATAAAAAAGGCTTTTATAATTTGATTTAAAAAAATAAAAATAAAAATACATTTTGTAGATTTTTGTCTGAGAAATAGAGAAATCATTTTCAGTCATAATTTGTTTTCCTTTGTGAATTGTATTGAATTGTGTGGGGTTTTTTTTCTACTCTGCGGTTGCTGAACGCCTGTGTGGGTCTACTTTTTTCTCACAAATAAAACTGATCAGGAATCGATAAAGAATGGGATCGATAAGCAGAATCGTTAATGGCACTGGTAATAGTAAAATCCTATCAATTACCATCCCTAATTAGAATGCTGTGATGCTTTTTAACAAACCACGGTCAATATGACAACGGTAAACAGTCTTGTTATATCACAAATAACATGCAGTAGTTAGTATGTAATATATACTGTAACTGTGTGAAACATTTACATTACAACATTTACCACAACATATCATCTGCACTATCCAAGACATTTCTTGCTTCTGACCCATAATACGTATTATAGTAAATAAGGGCAAAAGAATAGGAGGCAATTTAGCCTTAAAAGTTGTTATGTACATATAGTACCTGCTTAGAAAAGTACATAAGAGATTGATGAGTGTCATACTTCTACATTGTATGATAAGCAAAGTATTGTCTATTATGGCAAGAAGAGTAAAAAATAAAACAGTCCCAACTTTTGGGAAATCAGTCTAAACTTTGCAAAATGCCAAAACTCATTGTGAGATGTAATGTTAAGGTTCATTCACAGTGGTGTCTGAGGCATCATACAATTAACCAATGATGTTGCGCCCCCTTTAGGATAATCTGTGGAACTTAACAACCAACAATATAGTGTTCCCATTGGGACACACAAAAATGAAAAAATACCCAAGTTTCATTAAAGTCTGACTACACCTGGGATCCATGTGTTGTGTCAAATTCATGATGGACAAACAAGTGACTGATAAAAACAAACATAATCAACAGAGACCACTCTATCTGTAGTTCCCCATGATTTTAGCACAGCGGACAAACAGACAGAATGGCATGTACAGGTGCTGCAAGTGGTCTAGTGTATCACCTGGACAAAGAAGGCTCCCTCCAGTGCCTGAGCCAGGTCATCGGAACTGCTGAGCAGGGCGAGCTGCTGCGTGGCGGTCAGCTCCCCTCTCAGCATGTGGGCTCCCTCCAGCTCCTCCAGCTGCTTCCTGAACCAACAGAGTGAACACTCATACACACTTCCTCCAAAGACTTTGCATGAAACAAACTCCCTATGACATGACATTACTCTTTTAATGTCTAAGGAAGCATAACAAATTCAGCAGATTTTAATGGTTTAATAAAGGCGAGATCTAAATAATAATCTTTATTATGTAAACAGATTGAGAATTGGCCAAGAGATCTCCAGAGAACCTTTAGTTGGTTTGTGGGTAGACGGCTGAATGCTGTCAGGTTGGTTTTCTAACCGATGTACATACCAGAATGAATTGGCTGTCACTCATGGTAGCACAGTAGCAGCTATAATTTAGAAGGAATTGTGTCAGATGTCATACATACATGAATTTCTTTTTGTTGATTTGAATTTCACATTTCACATTGATTTGAAGTAAACACTACTTGCAGGATTAGGGACAATCCTTCACAACTTGTGCAGTAAGAAATCACACAAAGGGAGTCTGAGAGACCAGTACAATGAGACCCTCTACTGTTCATACAGGCAATCTCTGACAGTCGGAACAATTACAGGTAAACACCAGAGGCAGCAGCAGATAAGCAATTTAAAGGATAATTTAAAGGCATAATACTGAGGTTTCAGTTTAGAGTTTGTTAGTATCAAGGGCTGTATATAAGGTTTATATAAGGTTGTTTTTTTTGACAGTCTTTTCCAAAGTATTAAATTCAGTTTCATTTATATAGTGCCAAATTAACAGAAGTTATCTTAGGACACCTTTTCACATATGAAATGTTTGAAATCACGTAAAGAGACCCAACAACTCCCACCATGAGCAAAATAGTACTTTTCACCAAAACCCCTTTGTCATTCACCAGTAATGTTTAACTAGCAATGACTAGGCTATGAAAGAGTTTTTAGGCCTGAGCATGTGTTTGTCCATGTGTTCCTGCAGTAAGAGGAAGTCACTGATCATGCAATGTCCATGTGTCTTCTCTGTAAGCACTGGAAGGAAGAACAGGTCATATTTTAGACAGGGTCCTCACGAGTGCATGGAGGCCAGTCTGTATGTCTTGTTAATGTTCTCTTCATTCAGCCCCGTCGACTAGAAAACCATAAGAGTGTCTGATAAGGATGGCACAGAACCGTTTATGATATTAAAAAACGTTTATGTTTATTAAGTGGCTGATCATCACATGCTCAAGAGTCACGAAAGTCACTGTAATGTACCATTCAGATAGCTTTGGCGTAATTTGCTGAGGCTTGCATATATTGACAGTACCTCAACTGGAACTCAATGGAATTTGGTTTGTGGTGCTCCAAACACCGAAAAGCATCACAAGGCAAATGCCACTGAGCCCTATTTTATTGGTATAGGCCACAGTCAATAGATTTTCCAATATTTCCTCAGCAAAAGGCATTAAAATCTTTCTACTGAAAACCTTTGACAGCCTAAAACTACGAGTTCACTCAAGTCAGATTAAACATTTACAAGCTACTGTGACCCAACCATATTGTAAATGTCTCTATAATCAGGGTACCTTTTAGTTTTATAAACATGTATTTAGGGTTTCAACGATATCAGATTATTTCACAGTAACCATCTCAGAAAATATCACAGTGTATCTATATACAGTTATTATGTACAGTTATTATCATCAGTTACATTAATCCTTAAAAGGAATCAAAACTGTCCTGTATTTTCTTTAAAATAACACTAATACGGTAGAATTAAACACTGCAGATAAGCAAATGTACATGGTATAATAACTGTCACTGTACATACCATGGTATACTGCTGCAACCCTACATGGATTTAAGAGTTATAATGAAAAATAATATCAAATTCAACCTAAAATAAAACAATGAAAACACACTCAACCTATCATAATAAAGTCCCAGAAAAGCAAACCAAGAAATCACAAGTTAACACAATTTTACACAAGTCATGTAAAGTTCATTTGTACAGCCCAATATGATGTGCAATGTCTCAATAGGCCCACAGCATCAATACCTCTGTAATCTGACTGACAGGAGGGTGTAATCTAAACGCACAGAAAATGTTGTGTGTGTCTAACTATGGAAAGCAGATAGAATATTACAGCAGGCAAGACCACATTATGCTATGAAGCACTGCAGCATTGTGTAGAAGGGCTGACCTGATCTCTGTGATGGCCTTGGCAGCCTGTCCTGGTTGGTTGTCATAGATTTTCACAGAGTAGCCTCCACTGACAAACACCATAGCCCAGGAGCGCCCTATCAGCCCGCTGAAACACACACAATCACACACACACACACACACACACACACACACACACACACACACACACACACACACACAATAGACATTTCGGGTGTTCGCTCTTCTCTGTAATGAAACTGAAATTCCATTAAACATTCAGGTCACAATTGGCCTGGTCTTTTTTTGGTCTTTGTCTTCGCTGTGGTTTGTCTGCACCATCACTTACTCCATGGACATGCAACATAAATCCTGGCTTCCGTTATGTCTGTTTTTATAACTTACCAGCAGTTCACTCTTTCTTCCCTACATACACAGGAAGGTCAGTTACACAGCGAGGGCTCTGCAGGTTTACGCTGTGTCTAAGTGTAAAAATTCTGTTCTGTTGGGTTTGGATATTCTTGTCTGTATATTTATGGAGGCACATAATAATGTACATACTGTAAGTAACTCTCAACAATTGTAAAAAGAGGAGAGACTTTTTGGCCGTGACGTTTTGTATTTACTTTCCAGGTGTACAAGAGGTCATTTCAGAGTGACTGCCAAGTTTAGTTGGGTGAATAGAAATAATGAACAGGGCACAAAAAACAGGTTAAAATGTAAGCCTATACAAAGTAGCCTCTAATGCTGGAGCCTCCACACAACTGCTATGGTACTTAATGTAAATGGATTGAGCCTAGTCCAGAACAACCAGGATTATAATGAAAGATAACTGATAGGGAAAAGCTACATGCTAAAACTACAAGAGTTCAGAAAATAAACATTAGTTCGCTACATGCCAAGAGAGTCATTCAGCATAGGCCTGCACGGTAAAAGCATGTTAACGCGATCACTAAACTAACTTAAAATATATAGCCTTAAGTAACGTATCACAACATTGCACAACTAGCATAATAACGTGGGAGCAAAGTGTAACACTATAAAATCATCCTCTCTTGCTCACCTGCCGATCACAGATATTTTCTTCATGTCAGAAGAGCTCATTTTCACTAGAGGTAAAGTTACTGCTCCACCGGCTCTATCAAAACGGCGGCACCGCCCCTCCAGAGTCACGTTGCTATACTACTACGGTAACCTAGAAGGACCAAAGAACCCAAAAGAGTGCACAACACATTAACTTACATTTTCCCCGCCAACAAAGCAAAGCACAAACAACATACCCGCCATTAATTCGCTGCTAGTGTTCAAGTTACATTTACAAGACGAACCTGACATGAAACTGTGCTTGAAACGAAAAAAGATCGAGCGGGTAGCTTACACTTGTATCCTAGCAACGGCTGAACTCAGCGTCGACCAATTACGTTAACGCTGAATAATGATTGACGCGTGAGTAACCAGTCAGAGGTTTGTGAACGGAGCTGGCCCACCCATGCCGCTTTGAATTGTGGGATTGAATCCTGAAAACGACAACAAACCAGCTTTGCTGTTGCTTCGTTTAAGATAACAGTTTTTTCCCCCATATCCATGAGCATTTCGTTACACCACCTCACTGGAGAAAGAGAAATGGAAAATGTACACCTCGCTGTGGAGGAGGAGGATCTTTATTCGGGTTACAACGACTACAATCCAACATTTGACTCCGAGGTGAGTTATACGCTGTATTAGCTAGCTGTGAAGTTGGCAGCTAACAGCTCAAAGTCATTTGTATTGAAGTATACAGTTAATAACTAATGCTACTTACGATAAGAGCTGGAAACACCAATGATTTTTAATTCTTTAATAGTGTTAGCTTCAGTGTGTACATTGGACATGTCCAATACAGAATGAAAATATAACAAGAACCAAACATTTCTCTTATAACGGAAAACATGAATCCTAGTATGTGAAGTATTTTATTGGCACCAATAAAAAAAAAAAGATTTCCAATAGGGCTGTGAAAATCCTAAAAGAACCAAAACGGTTTTTTAGAAATGTATGGATTTTCTGACTAGGGCAATAGTTATGTAAAGAGTAAAGACTAATTATTGACCAATTTCAAGGAGTTGGAGAATGATGTGGGCTTCCAGCAAGCAGTCAGGACAAGCCATGGAAGAAGACCTCCGGTGAGTCCCAACACACACAGTGTGTGTGTGTGTGTGTGTGTGTGTGTGTGTGTGTGTGTGTGTGTGTGTGTGTGTGTGTGTGTGTGTGTGAGAGAGAGAGAGAGAGAGAGAGAGAGAGAGAGAGAGAGAGAAAAAATAATAATGTCCTAACTGCACTCATTTGTTAATACTCATGAAAAAATGTCCTTAATTATCTAGATGACGGCCAAATTCCCTGGCACTGCCATTGGAGCTCGGCCTTTAGCTTCTTCCTTTGGAGTAAGTACAATGATATGGAATAATTGCAAATAAGTAAAATAACTTTTATAACACTACAACACTCAAGTAATCTTGTGATAAAGGAGATTCCTGCACACTACTTTTTCCCTTCAAGACATTTTTATTGAATCAGCACAAACTAACATTCTGGTCCCCACAAACATGAATCAGATAATATATATCACATAAGCACCTCTGTTACTCTTCAGTGGTACACAGGTTCCACAGTGTGCAGCTGAAGACAATTGCTTTCATTGCGATCTACATGAAAATATGTTATAGGACACAATAAATCCCTCACATACACTCTTTTTAATGAACATGTTTTTGTCTCATATTGGCATAATAAACAACATTTTCAGGTAAACAAGCCTAAATAATTCTCACCGATCTTATACTTGTTGTTTCAGTCTCGGATTCCTATGGCCTCTTCAATGGGCAGACCCATGACTGGCGCTGTGCAGGTGAGCAGGATTGACAACTCAAAAGTGTGCATTTCAGGTCCTGCATAGTTTTTATAATGTATTTTGCTGACTGTACTTAATCTCACAGTGTGTGGCAATTTTGAATAAGTTTATTTATATAGCAAGAACAGATGTCACAGAGTGTTTCACACAAGGGGGCAGCCCTCATCTACATTTCAAAGTCCTCAGCCTGTCTCCATGGCTGATGGCTATCCCCCACAAACAAAAGTTAAACTAGATGTGTTGAAATAGTAAATATTCCAAAATATAGAACGGAGAAGATGAGGAGCCTGTATGTGCTGCAATAAATATGTGTTTCTCAACTAAATGATAAAGATAAAGTGATTCCAGTATGTTTTAATGCCATTTTAAAAGTATGAAGTATTCATGATTCCGATAATATTGTGCATTCCATTATTTCGGCTAATTATGATAATTGTGACATTAAATGTTCATATATCATTATATTTTGTGTTGATTGTTTTCAAATGTGACAGGATGGAGCAGCCCGACCAATGACTGCTGTCAGAGCAGCTGGTTACACATCCTCCCTGACCCGAGGTGAGTTCAAAGGCATCACAAACAAATATTGTCTGTCACAGCTATTTTAGTGACTCAGTTTTGCTTTGGATTATCATGTGATTGGAGTTTAGCTAGTCAATCTGTAGCTGCTCATTTTTTTGGGGGGCCTTTTATTGCCTTTGTGACAGCTGGAGATAGACAGGTAAGGGGGGTAGAGAGAGGGGATGACACGCAGCAAAGGGTCACAGGTCGGATTCGAACCCTGGGCCGCTGCAAGACTCGGTCCATGGTCGCCAGCTCTACCAAGTGAGCTAACCGAGTGCCCAGCTGTTCATGTTTACTGTGTCCGCATTGTTGAAGTTCTTCCTCTGGAATAGACACAGTTGTAGAGAGACAATGTCAGCATGGAACAAGCAGAAGGAAGCAAGACTGTTTCTAATCTTTAAAAACCTTTTTTTTTATTAATATAAAAATAAACATATATCTATAAGGACAAATTGTAATTATCTAAACAATATAGTATTCCTGTCGGACTGATAATTAGTGTGATTCTTATTTTCAGGCTCGAACTTTGACCCTCTGGGCCAGTCCAAAGGCCCTGCACCTCCACTTGAAGCAAAGAATGAGGACACGTGAGTTGTCACTCTTTAAACTGATTTGTCTTTTGCAGTGTTTCATTTAAGATTATCGCTGTACCATCCAAGATTAGTTTTTTACCCTTAGCAGTACCTATGTATTGGTTTTTATAGGTGCTATATCGCGTCTAATTAGGATGCATATTGTCATAATAAGGTATAATTCTTATATTCAAAGTAAACAATTAATAAGACAAAATAACACCTAACAATGGAACTTAAAATAATCCAATTTGTATACTAACTAAGTATTATGTATGTTTTTCAGAGTGTGTCACAACCTGTATTTTGTATTTGTACAGATTTTATTTATCTCCACTATAAAATGTTTCTGTCACTCTTGTAACATTTCGTTAGTACTAAATTGTCTCTAAACAGAGGTATCTTGTGAAACTGGTGGAGAAAGGCTCATGCATTCAAACAGCATTATCATACATTGTATTGTTGTGTCTGTGATCTTGCAGGCCTGAGGAGAAGATCAAGATCCTGGAGAAGAAAGTGAATGACCTTATAGAAGAGAGCTGCATGGCACAGAGCATGGGAGCCTTACAGCTGGTCAGACTCTGTCATCTTTTAACATACTGCTTAGTAATAATGGCTGTTTGGATTTGGAGAGAAGGGCCTCCAAGTAAGGCAGTAAACAGTGATTAATTTTTCATCATGTCAGCACTATACTCCAGCACACGGGACTGAGTATCAGGTTAAATTGTATCGTCAGATGCCCTTTATACTTTATAGCAAATTCAACACTGTAATAAAGCTTTTGGCTCAACTGCTAATAGTTTTTTAGCCTAAAAAGGGGGTTGGCCAAAAAAACCTGAAGCTCATCACCCTACCTATGGTCAGTGTTGTTTCATAAATGGGATAACTTAGTCAAAAGACTGAGTTTGTAATACACTGTGAAGTCCAACAGCAATCCATTATAACTGAAACATTGCTTACACATACTTTGACAATATTTATCAGCCAAGGACACATTTTACATGGTATTGTTCATTTTGGACATGAGTGTTGGTGTCACTACTGATGACCTGTGCATATGGGATTGTGTCTTTTATGTTTGTATCTGCTTGTCTCCCTACTGTATTTAATCTGTGTGTGCGCATATGATGTGTTTCTACAGGCTCTTGAAAAAGCCAAAGAGGCAGGGAGGAAGGAGAGAGCACTGGTGAGACAGCGGGAGCAGTCTGGCAATGCGGACCACATCAATTTAGACCTCACCTACTCTGTAAGTAAGGCTGCTGTATACCAATGGGTATACCAGTGTCTGTAAATTAAATGATCGAGCATTTACTTCTTAACATTCTGAAATGACATGCCCAAGAAGCTTAAGTACAAGCTTTGGAAAACCCACTCTTTAAGTCTGCTTTTTATTAGTTTCTTAAGGGAAAAAAAATACCATTTGCAGTACAGTTGCAGCACTTTATTCCGGTCTACTCGTTGTGCTTACTGTTTGATTCTGTGAGACTGACACCAAAGCCTGTATTTTAAGTGTTGGTTTTCTGCCATTAATCTCAATTGTAGTGCTTGAAATATGTCATTTTGATGTCAGTGTGTCTAGGTTTTACCATTTATTATCTGTAATATCACCACACAAATGCACTCAGGAATGCAAAATGCCTTACAGCTTCTGTATATGTTAGGATACATTCTCCTTTTGATTGTTTTTGAGCTCTCATGTCACATGTAGCTTTTATGTACTTACATACAATGATGTTTATCAAAAGAAGTGGTGATTCTATTTCTTTTCACATAAAGTGATAGTTTTGTGCTAGAGGGAGACACAGTACAGGAAATATCTGGCCGGATTTGTTTTTCAGCCAGCAGGGCACATGTTTGTCTTATCTGGGCTCATCATTCTATTATTTCTAAATAAGAAATATTGAATCTCTCTGTCATTGCTAGGTTTTGCTCAACCTTGCCAACCAGTATGCGAACAATGAAATGTACCCAGAGGCCCTAAACAGCTACCAGGTCATTGTGAAGAACAAGATGTTCAGTAATGCAGGTGAGCAGATCACTCGGCTTCATATTCCATCCTTACAGATGTGTTTAAACTATGGCTGCCCTGGTGAATCCACATATTATGCAGTAAGGACAGACAAATCCTGTGTTTAATATGGCCCTAAAAACAAAGATGTTCCCTACTGTGATTCTGGACTGACAGTGAACCACTGGAGTATAAATTAAGGTAGTTTTAATAAATAGTAATAGTGCTGACTGAAATATTTCTCTTCTCTTAAGTAAAAGAAAATTACTATTCCTAAACTACTATTATTAGTGGTCAAAAATCATCTTGTTTTCAGAGTCAACAAATTGCTTGTCAAACTCAAGGAAACATGTTTTAAATTTGAGGAACATAATAAAATACATCCATCCAGCCATCCTCTCCTCTCCTTGCAGCACAACACCTGCCCTTATATAGTGTTTAGAGGTATTACGAAGAATAAGAAAGATTGGTAAAAGATTGGCACCTAGTACAGCTTTTAGGATTTTACGAGAAGTATAAACTGGACTGGAACAGAGTCTCTGACCCTCCAACTTTCTGGATCCAGGCTCTTTGTCTTAAGATCATCAATAATTTTCATTTTTTGTGTCATTATCTTCTTGTCTTCATGTATCTACCAGTGTTTGAAATATCCCCAGATCATTGATACAGAGAAACTCATGCTCATGCACTGGACTGTTTGTTGCATCAGTTGTACATTTGCTGTGGTTTTTCCTTCAAACTACATCTGTGCTGCTCTTTCAGGCCGTATGAAAGTCAACATGGCCAACATCTACGTCAAACAGAAGAACTACCCTAAAGCCATCAAGTTCTACCGAATGGCCCTGGATCAGATCTCCAATGCTCACAAGGAGATGAGGATCAAGATCATGCAGAATATCGGCGTGGTCTTTGTCCGCATGGGCCAGTACTCAGACGCCATAACATCTTTTGAGCACATCATGAGCGAGAGCCCCAACATTAAGACAGGCTTCAACCTAATCCTGTGCTACTATGCCATTGGCGACAGGGACAGGATGAAGAAGGCCTTTCAGAAGCTCATTTCTGTTCCTCTGGGCATTGATGATGAAGACAAGTACATCCCATCTAATGTGAGTCACATTAATTAATGTTTATTAATCAACACATGTAAACTTTTGGCATTTAATAAACTGGTTATCCACATTTTCTCTATGCGTGTCTGTAGTTGGATCTGCATGTTTAATCTGTCCAGCTATAATGCTAACTAACCTACAATAACAAATTAAGTTTTCTCTTAATTTTCTGTTTCTCTCAAAAGGCAGGATCATTTTCCATTGGGTAGATTTCCCAAAATGTTCTGAAGATCCCCTTTACAATAACTTCTTACTATAGCTTTTTGTCTGACTGCAAGCCATACTTTCATATCTGTCCGTCCCTTGTAATTCAATATTCCCAAGATCCTTTTCAGAACAATTCTTGGCAATGGCATATCTCATAATGTGGTCTACAATTTACCTTGGCCTAAAAAGCCTCAACCTCCTAACAACCATGTTGTTCTCAGTCAGTTTATCCAATTCTCAAAATGGCTCTGTTGGAGGCTCTTTTCTTTTCTAGGTCACAATAGACCACATACCAAATACTAATATATAACAAAGTGTTGGGGATTGTAAGATCTTAATGTAAATCTTTTCCTGTTGTCTCTGTCAGGATGACACCAGCTCAAATATGATCATCGAGGCCATTAAGAATGACAAACTTCACCAGATGGAAAGAGATCTGTAAGAATTCACACAACACAAAAAACACAATTGCTTTGAGCAGAACATGATCAATGTTTTGTCCTTACAAGCCACCGACATGTTGTCTTCTATACCAGAACACTGTAATACAAGGCACACTGTTGTTTTAATATTTGGGTTTAGATCCATGTATTTCCTGAATCTTTACTGTCCACAGAAAAGTCCTGGCTGAGAAGTACATCATGACGGCAGCCAAGCTCATTGCTCCGGCCATTGAGAATTCTTTTGCTTCTGGATTTGACTGGTTCGTTACTGTTGTGTTTTTTTAATCTTAACATCTTAACACTAGAGGGCATACGATGTACAAGTAGACTCCAGCTCCATGACAGTGCTATTAAGGAATCAGGAACACAAAAACATGGTATTCCAGGTGGTAGCTGATAGGTAGGCATTAATAGACATTACCTTCATACATAAGTGTTGTTGATGAACTGCTGTTTCAGATGATAATTAACAACAACAATAACAATTCTTTTGAGACTGACAAAACTAGGGGAATGTCACTAGATGTCTTGAAGTGTATTCCCTTTGTGCAATTCTACTTTTTTTAAATTGTTATGGATTTTCCACCCAGTTAGCTCACTCTAAAAGCAAATATGAAAATAATAATAATTAAAAATAATTTTTGTCACTACTTTTAAGTTTTAGAAGTAAGTGTATTATACATGTTATTTGCAGCAAGTATGAAATTATAAAATATGATATGATGCATAAAGTGTTTTACTGTGTGCATGTATGGTTGTTTTTTAGGTGTGTGGACATGGTGAAGAGTTCTCAGTATGTTGAACTTGCCAACGATCTAGAGATAAACAAAGCCATCACCTACCTCAGACAGAAGGACTTCAACCAGGTGACTGCTTGTCTCAACAGTATAAAGGGCAATACCACTCAATTTAGGCATCTCACTCCTTTAGTCTCACTTGTTATAGCCATAGTAGCAAGGCAACTACAAACTTCTCATCCCACTGTTAATATTGTACGTCCAAATACATATTTTGAGTTAGTAGGACAGCTAAATATTGGCTTAGACTAAATCGACATCTAGAACCAGATCGTGCTAATATTTGCCACCTTGTTATAGAATATTTGAAAACATGTAGATGTTTCCCATTTTAAAGCCAGGCATTATATATAATATATAGTATAGTCTAGTATAAATAAAGTATAAGCCAGTATATGCACTGACTTTGCAGAAACAGAACATATTTTTTGTCCATCTTTGTTTTTTTTTTATCATCACACAATTTGTGTTACGGGTTCTGAACCTGAAAATGTACTTTCATTAAAGCTCAAAAATACTGTTTATGCCAGGGTAGCAGTTACTTGTATAAGTTGTTAATGCGAGTGGTATTTCCCTTTAAACACGTGTAACATATGGGTGATCTGGTCTTCGTTGTCCTTTTTAAATTGGTTTTTCCATCTTTTTTTTTTACAACGTTGTGTCAAATTTTCCCCTTCTCATTGCCCTCCATTCTCTCTTGCTTTTGTCTTGTTTCCTTCCCATCTGCATGCCTAAGGTTGAGGTATGTGTGCCCTCTGTTTCCATGTTCACATTTAGATTGTGTTGTTTTTATTTTCCTTGACATGTTACTACTTAAGCATGCCTTTTCCAAATAACGACACTGCCAAGAGAAGTTGGAGAAGCAGTTATTGGTTAAAACCCACAGACCAGAAAGGAAAATCTCAGGGAAGAAAGGAAATTATAACCATGTTTCCTTATTTAACAATATACCACTGAGCTCTCAAGGAACTGCAGCTCTGCCAGAGGATCTGCTCTGTGGACAACAGTAAAACACCGATGACACTTTTTCCACTTCTATACAACTGCAGGAACCAACTCTCTTACACTGACAGGCTTCACATCTATGGAGCCACAAAATGTGCAATATTAAATAAATTAAAAAAGACATTATGAAATAAATAATCATATGAATGAATAGTGTAAAATATATAAATGAAACAACAATTTGTGAAGAAATTATGAATAAAGGTTATTCATATAATAGATATTATCATAGATATCCAGTTGTTATGAAATCTTGTAATTTTATTTCATTACAGACACTATTTCAAAATGCCCTTTTTCAAAAGTTTTGTTTTTATTTCATTGTGGCATTTCCCCCCTGATAACACATTTCATGACCGTGGTGTTGTCACCGCCCTCTCACCTTTCAGCCAGTCACATGCCCCCAGCCTCTCGAGCATTATTCAACCAACAAGAGGCTGCTGCTGTAAATAAACAGACACAGTAACTCAACTCCTGTAGCTTTTTAGACTTGTGTGTCTTTTTCTGTGACTGTGACTACACCACATCATAAAAAGTGACATTATTGAATAAAAAGTGTCATATTTATTTATTTAATATTGAAAACTTTGCAGCTCCATATACATCTAATGCATGTGTGTGTGGTGTTTTCATACTCTTGACAGACAGTGGTGGTGGTGTGACCTTCTGCGTCAGTGCAGCTGTAGCCTAGGTGGTGGTTTGTCAGAATGCTAACTTTTACACACAAATGCTGTTGGAAAGTCTCCCCGGTATATAATGCACTTACAGTGGCATAACAGCCAATTAAATGTGAAGAGTTTTTATTTCAAAAAGCTCATTAGGTAAGCTGTTACATCCTGCAGTCATCTTTATCTTTAATGATAATCTTTGGATTTTCTTTGTGTTTATGGTGCTTCCTTCACTGCTCTGCTTTATATACTGCAGTTTTCCCAAAACATACGTTTAACTACACATTTAAACATATCTGTTGATATCAGCTGAAGAATATCAATTGAAGGTGTTAAGGCTCTGCACAAATCATACTGAACACCAGAAGCGTCAGATTACATCATGATTTCATCAGGAAAATTTATGGAATTATAAAATTCGAAGTGTCTATGTGTTACATACTGGGGAATTTGGCTTGCACTGAAGTTATACAGTATTGCTGACAGCTTTTTTATTATGTGTTATCAGGCAGTGGAAACTCTGAAGACATTTGAGAAGAAGGACAGCAGAGTGAAGAGTGCTGCAGCCACCAACCTCTCTTTCCTCTACTTCCTGGTATGATCCTCTCATTGACTAATTAAAAGGCTCTCAGATAACACACACACACACACACACATATAAAGAAAAGAGATGGGATTGGATTTCTTTTAGAAGCTTAATGCCTAATTTAGATAAAATATGTTTTGCCATAAAACTGTTCAACTTCAGCCAAGTGGATGCTGTCAAGTATATCTGAATGTAAACTTTCCCATTCTCTGTACCAACCTGCTATCAGTAGATGATTCCTCTCTGATGTTTCACCTGTTGCAGGAGAAGGACTATGACCAGGCTGATCGATACGCTGACCTCGCCATGAATGCTGACCGCTACAACCCGGCAGCACTTATCAACAAAGGCAACACGGTGTTCGTCAAGCAAGACTATGAAAAGGCTGCAGAGTTCTACAAAGAGGCACTGAGGAATGATTCCTCCTGCACTGAGGCCCTCTACAACCTGGGTAACATCCGTTTCCATGATACAGTTTAGTGGTGGATAATCTAGAGATTGATCTCAATGAACAGCTTTGGTCAGGGCATTCATTATCCATTATCCCTTTCTATGTGAGGTACAGGTCACACTTAAAAGCAAACAACAATGAATAAAAAGTCTCTAAAAACAGACATTTCTCACAGTCAGCTTCAGTTGCCTGGAATCTAAATGTTAACAGTATGATTCAACCGCGAGAGGTGGGCTCATGACCAGTTTGAATAAGCAGTTTATATCCAGTACACTGTAAGGTCCTAACGTGTCACCACTTTTTAAAGGAATATCTGTGGTTATCAAAGAAACTTTTTATGGGGTCAGTGTCGCATTAGCTCTGGAAGTTTCTATCCACTTGTACCAGGTCTAACCTACAAGAAACTGAATCGTCTGGAGGAGGCTCTGGACTGCTTCCTGAAGCTCCACGCCATTCTGAGGAACAGTGCCCAAGTCATGTACCAGCTGGCCAATCTGTATCCTTCTGACAGGAAGTGTGATTTATTATGTATGTGTTTGTCTGTGTGTCAAATCGGTTAACTGTTTCTAACAGTTCCTCAGTAGATGTTGCTGGGAAAGTGTTCATTTAGGGATTCAAACCTGCATCTCTGTCCATTCCCATGTGAGCTGTTGGTCCTTGACTCATTGGCTTCATCTATGAGCTTCTGGAAGAGCCACAACAGGCAATCGAGTGGTTGATGCAGGTCATCAGTGTAACTCCCACCGACCCCCAGGCACTGGCCAAACTGGGAGAGCTCCACGATGGCGAGGGGGACAAGTCCCAGGCTTTCCAACACTACTATGAGGTACGGAGGGAACCATAATTAAATGTTTTCTGTTCACAGACTAATTGATTAATTTGTTATGTTGCCGTCCAGTCCTTCAGGTACTTCCCCTCCAACATCGATGTGATTGAGTGGCTTGGGGCTTACTACATCGAGACACAGTTCTGTGAGAAGGCCATTCAGTACTTTGAAAGAGCCACACTCATACAGTAAGTAACCATAGTGCTTTGGAAGATTATAGCATGATAAGTAACAAAGCAAATTGATCTGTGTAAAATTTATGATCATTTCTGGTACTGGCAGCTCATATTCCACATAATGCCAAATTATTCTATCATATTGAGAAATATCTGTGAAATGATGTTATTCTTACGTTAACTCTAACATGATTAAGTGATTCCAGTCTTATTTCTTATTTCTTATTATCTTGTTTTCGTTGTTGCCATATTTCATCAACTATGACGCTTGTTCTCATCTGGAAGTAGTTTCTTTCCTGAACAAAAAAGGACCGATGATTTGGTTTTGTTTGCCTTCCAGCTTGATTTTTACCAATCTATTATTTTCTTTCGAAAAAGTGAAGTACAGGGTTGATGTCTTTCTGCTGTGTTTCTCAGACCAACCCAGGTGAAGTGGCAGCTAATGGTGGCAAGTTGCTACAGAAGAAGTGGTGAGAATGATTCTGTTCTTTAATGACATAGTAAAATAATGTTACCACATCATAGAAAGGTATTCACTCCACATGGAATTCCCAAACTTAATCATGTCCACTAGCAGCATCTTAGTTATGTATTTGATAAAGTTTTGTTCTGATCTTGTAAAATGTAATTGTGTAAGTATTGTGAGGAGGTAAGCGTGGGAAACACTTGACATAGTCTGTCTTTGCTGACTGAACTAGAAAGTTAATTTAGTACTAAGTTGTAAACAAAAACATTTTCTCTTTACTTTACAGGAAACTACCAGAAAGCTCTGGAAACGTATAAAGACATTCACCGCAAGTTTCCAGAAAATGTGGAATGTAATTCATCCTTTTTGTTAAAAAATTATCAACATACCTATTGACTTACAGCAGATGATCACACTGATCAGAGTGTAAAGAAAATAAAAACTCTGTGTGTGTTTGTCCAGGCCTGCGTTTCTTGGTGAGGCTGTGCACGGACATGGGACTGAAAGAAGTCCAAGAATATGCCACTAAGCTGAAGAAGGTGGAGAAGATGAAGGAGATGAGAGAACAGGTATGTCTCCTCGGCTGTCACTGGCACTTTTTGTAAATAAACCTCTGTTCACCATCACCAGTTGCTACAACCTGATAGTGTTTCATGCTGTAGATTTATAAAACCTTCTACAGCTGTTATCATGCAGTGTCCGATAGCGCTTTTTTGGAAACATATGGCACACAGGATGCTATGTATTTTACATTTGCAGTTTGTTTGGAATAAACAGCAGAAGAGATGGGTTGTTAGCAGGAAATTCAATAACTAACTTCAATGAATAGGCAAAAAATAGGCAAAACTACAGAAAGGCCAGAAACAATCTAATGAGGAAGATGTCACAGCACACTGTAGATCTACTGGTATTGCTCTTCAGGAAAACCAGTGAGAGTTTATCACCAAATATGGAGATAATATAAAAAAAAAAATCCCACTTAAGGGTCAATCAAGATTTAATTTAATTAACCTTATAAACAGCTTAGTTGGAGGATATAACATTCAAATAATGTAATACATCTGAATAATATTAACATTATGCAGCCGCATAAATAAATGTCATGTATTACAGAACCTTTCGTGAGCTTTCATTAATCATCTTTTCTTCACCAATGTCTTGGCGTGCTTCCGTCTGTTCCTGCACAAGAACACACTGATTGAAAACATACACATGTCCTTTTGCCATAAAGTGGGTCAGTGGTCACTGCAGCTGTTTTTCTCTTCTGCTGATTTTCTATGAATCAAAGCGTATACAGAGGAGATAAAACAATATACAGCTGTTTAACACCTGGCTGACATTAATGCTGGGTTATTTAAAACATGTCTGATGCTACATGCAGTTGTTTGGGTTGTTCCGTGTCACCTGAGATGGTAATGGATCTGAATGGATAACTGGAGACATATGTCCCTAGATTGGTGAGGACTGTTTGCCTGAATATGATTGGTTTATTGGTTTAGACACTTTTGATGTTAATCTGTACACCCCGAATATGATCCTGCAAGACCTGCTTACATATTCTCCAAAATAACATCCTCTTTACTTCTTTGCTGTATTCCATTTAAAATTAAAAGGATCAAAATCGATGCAGCAGAACCATAGATATCATTTTTATTCCACGCTTTCGAGTTTGGTCAGAGATTAAGGTGTGTTATGTTAGTGGCAGCTAATGCAGAGCTACAGAGTTCTGTTGGAGTCACTTCTTTCTAACTGCACATCTCTAGATTTTTATCATTATCATCAACGGACTCAAGTGACATCACTTGAGGACATTTATCAGACTTCACGCAGCTCCCTCTGGGGGCACAAAAAGTTTCATGCAACTGTTTTTCACATAAGTAGTAGTACTCCCTAAGACCTGTAAACATACCTTGATGTGTAAAATGATGGCATTCCCCATTGAAGGTCCAGTGTGTAACATTTAGGAGAATCTATTGGCAGAAATGGAAATTACCCAAAAGCCCAACTATCACATAATTGAAATTAATTCTGCATAACTATTATCTGTGGTGGCATCCAAACTTAGGGCCACTCCCAAAATAGATGACAGGCCTGTGATCCACAAAACTGGCAGCAGTCTGGGGTCAGTCAGGTTTTGAGGAGGGTCGTGATTCAGAGCAACAGAGCTGTGTGCCATGGTCCTGTGGAGATATTCATCAGAGCCAGGAACAGATGAGGAGGATGACTTTGTCAAATCACAAACAGCTGCTTTTAAATCAGCCCTGAGCAGAGAAACAATCCTTCAGAGACAGACAAAGCCAGAAGGTTGACTCATTAATCCCCAAATCCTCCAAACTGAGTGACAATGAAAAACAACTCATCCTGCTAATATAACTGCACAGTGTATCACGTGATGAATCAGAGAATGATTAGTACCAAAAACTAATATGTGAAGATTAAATCACTGCTCTATCTGATGTTGAGTTTATGTTAAATGTCTTATTTTACCATGGAAATTCCCATACCCTTGTTTTATTTATGTCATCCATCTTGTTGCTAACTGCTCATTGCTGTGGTGTTTCTGCAATGGACGTCCCTTCTAGTTTATTCCACACAAACTGGAAATGTAAGACTTTTTTTACATGTGACATTTATACTCATTTGTTCATATATTAATGTCAAATTCCACTTGGATTTTTTTTATCTGTCTCTACATTCCAATGCAACTGACTTAACTTATGTGACACAGATGGAGAAACGAATAAAAAGAGGCAAAAAAAGCTGCCCCGGCTCTGTATTTATTTTTATTGTTTGTTTTTTTTATCACGGAAATTCTTTAGAATTCTGTAATTATTTTTGTCCTTGTCTGCAGTACAATCTTAACTCCCAATTCCTCCTCCCTCTTTCTCTCTTCCTGCAGAGGGTGAAGTCGGGCCGGGAGGGCAGTGCCAGAGGTCGGAGAGAAGGCAGAGAGGGCAGTGCAGGGAGTGCTGGTGAGTCAGCAGTAACCATAACAATACAAAGCTTCTACTGTGCATAGGTCTGGAAATGTTTGGAAGGTCCAATGTAAACATAACTCAACATTTTAATCTGAAGAATAGTGTGGGCTTAGTAAGTGTGTAGAAACATAACATTTGCCATTTTGTAACACCTATTGTATTTCCAGAGTGCCTAACACCATCATGAGTGCATATATTGTTAGTATAGGTGTTTCAAACCTCAACCATGTATGTCCTCACTTCCCTCTCTCCTCTAAATGTTGTTCACTCATGCTGCTGGGCAGCAGGCGTCTCCACACCTGTCCTCAACTCTCCTAAGAAGGCCAGCATCATGGGTATACCTTGATACACAACACTAAGTCCCGACTAGTCAAGCCATAAAAGGAACTGTTGGATGTTGGATGTGTAGCTGTAACCCCCCATCTAATCACATATGGGTCACTAACAGGTCGAACATCTTTCTGGGTCAGATTAATGGTCCTCTTTGGCTGACTGAATTCTTGCATCCTGGCTGTAACATTACAAAATGTTTCATGTTGAATTACAATGTAGCCTCATATCTTTGTAAGATAAGACTGTTTAGGAGCACAGAGCATAAGCAGAGCCACAGCAGACACTGGAGAAGACAAACTTGCACCGTTATAGCACTCCTTCACGACAGATCCACAACAAATACAGACACATACTCCAGACTGGCTCCAACACTGGAAAGCTGGCTCATCAGCAGATTTTAAACGCAATCCAGACAAACTAGAGAGTTGCCAAAAACTGTAACGAGACCCAGCTTTGCTCTTGTGTGCAGCAAACGTCCTGCAGTGTAGTTAAATATATATATCAGGCACCTGTTAATGCATCCTGCCAATTATTCCCCTGTGTCCTGATAAATTAGATTAGAAAACCTCAAACCTGTGTTTTAGTGTTCTATTTTGTTTTGTACTGCCAGAACTGTAACTGGACTCATTTAAAAGATGCTTTTCAACATTGTCTAACATGTTTTACTTCTGTGTCCTTGAATATTGGTTATGACACTTTTAAGTTGTTTAAACCTCAAACCCTTTTCTTACTTTCTTACGGCACATCAGAGGTGGATGGTAAAGCAGGTGAGAAAACGAAGGCTATAAAATGCCAACTAATTAGTTCTCATCAGCTCTCATTCCACATGCTAGTGTAATTGCTTCTCTCTGCGCTGTTTATGTTTTGTTCTCTGTTTATATGCAGTTATTTTCAGTCCCTCTTTCTAATCTTTCTTTTCTTTTTGCCTTCCTGCTGCTCTGGCTGCATTTTCACTCTGCCTCTTCTTTGCTGCCCAGTATCTCAGACTGAGTCTAAACAACTCAGTCCACTGTTGGACTCAGGGAGAGGTATGTAAGATTCCCACTCCAGATTAAATAAGTGAAAGCTGTAGGTTTGTAGGACTGTACTTCTGGCCACTTAGACATAAGAGGTCCTTAGAAAAACTAGAGCTTGCCTGTCTAATTTCAATAATTTCTGTGTCTTGTCACCCAGAGTGAGTTTTATCTACAGCATAGCAAAAAGCTTAAAAAAATCAGTAAATCAGTTCCACATCAGATTATTATTTTCCTCTTCCTCCTCTGCAGTGAGCATTATGTTGCTTTTCCTTCTTTGTGTCATTGCACTAACACTAAGATCCTATATTGTAATATTAGCTTCCATGATAACTGACACTGGAAATTGAGATTTAGACTGCACTCAACCGATTTGTATTAGTGATCAGCTAAACTCTTAATAATCAATCAAATGAATCTCCTGCATTTATCTCATTTATTTATTTATTTTTACAGGGACAATGCACATCACTGTAAATGTGCCACTGTTAGCCAAAACTGTTGTTGCATGGGCAGATGTTAGATTAGCCAGATTAACCAAACGTGCTATATGACGCATTAACATCTTACTTCTGTATTAGAATTTGTCATTTTCAAATGTTTCAAAAAGTGAAAAGAATTGGACTAAAGTCTCTTCTAACCACAGGAATATAATTTGGGTTGGTTTCCCCTTTACGCAAGCAAGCACAACTTTATTTATGTAGCACATTCACTGCTTCATTTGAGGAGCCACATTCCAGTAGAAAAATGGCAAAACATTTCACTGGCTTTATAGTAGCATCTTAACCTTTTAACCTTAAACCTTAAATCCTTTTTCCTACTCAATACCGTCCGAGTGAAATTTTCAGCATTGTGCACTAGAGTCAGCAGACGTGAGTGGTTAGAAGAGTTTCCCGTAGGTAAACACACAAGTTGAGAAACCTAAGTATAGTGTTTCGGTAAAAACACCTGAAACTGGTCCAGAAATCTTGGCTGACAGGCAGCTGTGATGTTGGACCGCGGTCGCTGTTTGCACTGAGCTCTCTCACCGAGGAGGAGGGAGTGATCACCCAAACCTCTTTCAGACATTTGAGAAAACCTCTAGTGCACCTGAGAGTTTTCCCTCTTTTCTGTAAAGTCTGCATACTCTCAGCACCGTAGAGGAGCGTGTTTGTGTGAGTTTGTTTTCTCACGCATCCAAACCTGCATCATTCTTTGATGTGAAACTGTTACCACTTAACTTTTGTGTTCTCTCTGTCCAACGAATGAACAGATTTAGACTATAATTGCAACATTGATATCATGAAGCAGCTGTTGGTCAGTATTTGTTGTATTTATATTTGATCCTCTTATGATCTTAAAGTGGTCCAAATGTTTTTCCAAATAGGTTTGAGCAGGAAAATGAGTTGCAAAAGTCAGGAAGTTGACTCATCCATATTGATCAACGTCTCTATCAAACCCTAACAGAAATATTATGACCATTCATGCCGTGGAGGCGTATAAAACTTACTTTAATCATGGAAACCGTTACACGCAATTAATTTGAAGTCTGGCTTCCAACCTGTCGTGTCATCCCTCTTTTCCGTGTCTCCCAGTTGTGTATTATAAAAGAGAAGCTCCATCCAAGAAAAGGGAAAAAAAATAGGGAGAAAAACAGTTGTGAGTTTTCCAGCAGAGGTTTCAGTTTCCCAGCAGTATGTGAGGCCTTGTGTGAGATGTTTGGGGCTGTCAAGGAAGGTAGAATATCGGGCCTCCTTCTCCTTCCTGTTTTCCAGCTTTCTGCCTCTGCTCTCGTCAGTTGCCAAGGCTACCTGGCAGCCAGATGTGGGCTGCTGCTGTCTGTAATCATGTCTGTCCTTCAGCTCACTAGACCGCTTTGTCAGCCTGTCATCTGAGCCTTAAACACACACACACACACACACACACACACACACACACATTCTACATTACATCTTGTGAAGAGTACCAGCTCTGTGTCTGAGATGATTGTGGACCTGAGCTGGCTATTCAGCGTCTTGCTAAAGGGCATTCAGTACTGTTACATGTTGATTGATGGATGGTATCTTGTAACTGTTAGACTAATGATTCTTTGCCAGGAGGATACTCGGGTAAGTAGCTCAGGTAATTTAAAAAAAAATACCTTTATATTTATATTTAGGAGAAGAGTGGAAATTCAGATGGGTCAGTGTGAGGCTGAAGGACATCTCTACCAATAAACTACCAGCTACGATAAGAAAAACTGCACAAGACACAAACCTTCACCACTCGTCATTGACAGTGTGGGGATCAGGTTAATAAGCGAGCAGAGAAAGTACATAGCTAAAAATAAAGGAAAGAATATTGGAACATTCAGCTTGTGCCACTCCAAGTGTTGGTAGTATGAAAGTGAACTTGGCCAAACCAACACAAAATATAAAAATATAATTCAAGCTTAAACATTGGCAAATTACAGGATCACGTGTCTTGTTTGGACAACTTTTATATCAAATGTGCTGGGAAAAAGGTTTTAAAGTCATGTGTGGTGATATGTGGTTAGGTCAGAATAAAAAGGTTGGGAACCTGAACACACACACACACACATTCTACATTACATCTTGTGAAGAGTACCAGCTCTGTGTCTGAGATGATTGTGGACCTGAGCTGGCTATTCAGCGTCTTGCTAAAGGGCACACACATACACACACACACACACACACACACACACACACACACACACACACACACACACGCACGCACACACATTTCATAACTTACTGTCTCTGTGAGATGAAAATCTCACATTTCCACCATATTGACTCTTCAGAATGTGAGAAAAATGAGCTCACTTTCAGTTTGACCTCTGTGAAATCTAGTGGCCTTTGATGTGGCCTCACACCACATCTGACAATGTCATATAACAACAGTGATATGAACACACACACAGATCCACAAAAGCTTTAGAAATACATATAAGTGTATGGCAAGCCTCATTGTTGTTTACATGGCTTAGTTTTCAGCATACATTGTGTTAAAGCGAGTTAATGAGGGTCTTAACATTACATACACAGTATATTAAGACACATGCACACACACCCTGATGAGGTCAACACTGTCTCACTACACTCAAGCAAAACATAAATTGGTCCTGCTTTGAGGGACATTAAATACCATTGAACTTTAAAAAGGTCATAATTCAGTACATTTGCTAATTCTGGGTACGTGTTTGTTTCTGCTTGTGTGTTCTGTACAGACAGCGGCCACAGCAGCAACAGCACCAAAGGAGAGCGGCTGAGCGCCAAGATGAGGTCACTTCCTGGTTCCAATGAGCCCTACGAGGCCAGCAGCCCGAAAGAAATAGGTGAGAAAACATCATTTCTTCCTCTCTCGCTCTCTCTTCCTCTCTGTGATCAGCGGTCTCATTTATTCTCTTTTATCTTCGAACCCTTTGTGTCCTTGATGTTCACTGACAACTCAACCACCAATCTCCTGTATTTACATACTAGATCATCACAAAATCAAAGCTATTTTCATGCTGAGTCTGCATCTCTTGCTGCTATTCTAAGACCCTCAAATGTAAATGTGCTTACAACAATATTTCCCACAACAAGGAGACCAAGGTACTTTCTTTTTTCAGTCTGTTATTGAACATAAGACAAACAGTTCTTACATACTTAACAGAGACAACTGTACAATACACAATCAGCATATTTATCTGTTCATTTCATTTTGAAAAAATAAAATGGCAAATTCATTTGTCTTTGGTATAATACTTAAACTGACTAACTTTGGGTGACTGAAATTCTTTATAGTCTATATAGTTTACAGTTCTCTCAAAAGCCTCTTAAGATCCAGAGCAGGCAGGACGGACCTCAAACTACATCTTTTATTTTCATTTTCAATTCTTCATGGACTCTAAACACAAGGCTCATATATTGTTTGTTAGCAAATAATGACACATACTGTTTTCTTTTGTCTAGAAAAAAGAGAAATGAAAACTCACCTGGAAGAACTTGAATGTTTTCACTTGAAATTTCCCCTATTTAAACATTTGTTTCACCTGTTCTCAAGTCTTAAACACAGGAGAGAAAGGAGTTTAGATCAGACTTAGAAAATGGATCACCAGTTTTGTGAGGACAGTAACATAACACTGTTTTCATACTGAATAATGAATGAAGTATAAAACTATTTATAAATAAAAGTGTTTTGGGTTATTTACTACACTTACACATGGTTACACATTACCTTACACATTTAGGTATTTTTGATATAAAACAGGACTTACAGGCAGACTTCATCTTCATCACCACAGACAGTATATGTTAAAAGGTTCTTACAGCATTCACTCGCCCTAATGTGCTGGTTTGGGAAACGTGTGTAGAAATTTAAGAATGTTCGTAGGAGTGCTCTTAAACTCTTAAGATCAATCAAATTGTCAGGAGTAAATCCTCTGTTCCTCTCGTGTGTAGACGCGTCCTACGTGGACCCACTGGGCCCTCAGATGGAGAGACCAAAGACGGGAGCCAAGAAGCGCGTGGAGGATGACGACTTTGCAGATGAAGAGCTTGGAGACGACCTGCTGCCGGAGTAGCCTCTGCCTTCACTGCAACATTTGCTCTTTTATCACCTTTTGAAAGGCAAGGGCACAACGTTTCACCACAAAACCAAAAACAGTTTAAACTCAGCTCTTCAGCAAAAAAAAAAGGATTATTTTTCACGGGCATCAATGAGGGTCCAGTGACTCTCTGTAGTCTCCTGTAAGTTGTCTGATGTCTTTACCTTTGTCAGATTGCTCATGACCAATCTTTGCATCATCTGAGTGAAAAACAGACTGACCCACAGCTGATTTCTTGAAGGTAAAATATTTATTCATATCCATTCAGCATTGGAATACATATATACATGGCATGAATGCAACAAGAAGCTGCTTCCAGTGCAGTCTGGGACTGTTGGAACAGTTTTGTTTTGGCTCTGTACAATGAGTTTGAAATGAATGAATCACAGTGCGTTTTGACTTTAATATGTGTTTACATTCCCACCCGATGAAGTGTGCAGAACGTATAGACATACTTTTTGAACAGCTGCATTTTAACCTCACCATCACCTTTACATTGTTAATCCAGTGTTGGGATAGAGAGCTGAAACAATGAAAAACATTTCACTGTTCTGATAGTTTTGACTGCACCATGTGTTTCCATGTGTGACCCTGGGAAGCTTCTGGAAAATCCATCAGCATGATATACCAAACTTATGTAATCCGTCCATTTCAGGTTGTGTTTCGTTGCTCTTTGCTTTTTGTACTTTTCCAGAAATATTTATTTGTTCTGTAATATTTATTTGTCTTGTCATTTCTTACATAATTAAAAGAGGACATATTTGATCTATTCAAGATAAAAGTGGAGCAGTCTTATTCTGAGCACAGTGATCTTCAGATAAAACACAAACCATGTGATGTGTGAGTTTTTCTAGTATAGAAATCACACTGACAATCTGAGTTATTAATGTGAGGTTTTCCCGGGCAAGGCAACAGATCAGAGGGTAAACTGTATTGAATTAAGCTTTAAGAGGCTTTTTATTTGCATAATATAATTGAAAGCTTTTGCCTGGCATAAATCTTAATGAAATAAATTCACCACGCACATCATACTCGATGACAGGGGGAAGGGGGTCTTTGGATGAAAAACAAAACAGAAATATACTTTTAGCTGTTAAATATCATTTGTATCTATATGTGGTCCTTTGACCTTGGCCTCATAGTTGCTTTGTGGAGCCAGAGCAGACATAAGAGGTTGGACATAACTGATCCAGTTTATCTTGAAGTGAAGTAGACTCTGGTGTGAAGCCAGGATCCAGCAGCAGAGCCAACAGTCTGGACTTCCCACTCCCATCAGGAGCTGCTCTCATGGACGCTGGCCTCTTTTTTTCTCGCGGTTGAAGCCGGGAGTTTATCTGTCAGTCAGTTTAATTTGAACTGGTTGTGAATGGTGGATCACGCTGTTCCTGCGCGCACAAACGCTCCCATTGGATTTTACGCACACACCACTAGAGGAAAGCACGCTTGGTGGCGTTTTCTCCTCTTTAACAGAAAGCAGCAGGTGTAAAAGTGCCAACTCAGTAATCATTTCTAAGTCTAAGGTAATTATTACCCCTGGCGACACTGCGGACGTGTTGTGCCAAAATGTTTCCGCAGTTTCCCTGGCGGCGCCCCTGCGTTTCCAAGCCAGGACTGTGGACTGTGTGCCTGGTTCTCCAACGACTCCAGCATTTCACTGGATTATAACGGAGGAAAATAACCTGCTAACAGTAAAAGTTGTGTCAGTAATAAAGGTCACTTGCGCTCTGATAATCGTATTTTAAGAAAGCAAAGGGCAGAGAAGGCGTTGACACCGCGCAGAGAACACTTTATCAGTAAATACGCATTTCCGAGAAGCGCACAGTGATGCCGCGTCGGATCCGCGTCCTGCTCCTGCTCCTGCACCTGGCCGTGCTGCTGCTGGGCTGGGCGGCCGGGACGGGCCGGGTACGAAAGAAGGCCACCAGGACCCGGGCTTGCCAGGACCTACCGGAGGAGATCTTGGAGCAGATGTTCGGGCGTCTCTCGGTGGGAGTGATGAGCGCTTTCCACCACGCCCTGCAGCTGGAGCCGCAGGACAAAGTCAACCGGAGCTGCCCGACCACCGCGCGCTCCCGGACCGACAGCAAGACCCGCCTCCCGGTCAACCTGCTCAGCATCTCCCCCTGGGCCTACAGGTGAGAGCAAGGGCAACACTAAAGGGATGATATTTAGCTTTTTTTAAAATTCCATTCTTATCTCCGTCTGTACATTAGGTTGCATTCCAAACTAGCTCCATCATTGTTTTTATTACAAAATGTTACATTTATTATTATTCTATGTGGCAATTTAAATGACAAACATTCAACAAAGCTTTCACCTTGTGATATTTTGTTATGGAACTCTTTCTATAAGTTCAGCGGTGGATCCATACATGGTGTTATTAATAACAGTGTTAAGGTTATTGTAAAACTGTGAGATTGCTTTGAAGATTTGCTTTAAAGCCTCCTCATCAGATCAGCTTTATGAATCACAGACCTCCTAAATCAAAGTATCTTATAACCCCATATAACTGAGCCTGAAAACAGTAACCAAGGTGGGCGTAAATCGTGCTAAATTGCATGTTTAAATATACAGTATGTTATTATGAGTTGCTCTTTCATAACAAATACAGTAGTGCTGTATATTGTATATTCCAGATATGATGTACGCTAGAAAGAAATGATTTTAAGATACAACAATCTACTAAGTAACTATAATTACCAACCTATATAACCCACAGAAACATAAAAGGCCATCAAAAAGTCTACAGAAGATACAAATGCAATACTGGATTATATCTACGATATCAGCTGAGGGAAAGATCTAAACAAGGTCATCAAAAAGCTTTAATAGTTTTTTAGTGTCACATTGTGCTGTATGACCTACAGCAGCAGTCTAAAAGTGAATGTCCCAGCAACAAGGGGAATAATGTTTTTCTAATGTATTAAATTTCAATGTATAATTATTACATTTATTTTCACTATAATTCATCCATAAATAAGTATGGCTATATGGGTTTCATGCCCTTTCTGTAACATCTAAAGATCAGATGGGGGACACTGGGATAAAATCTCCTTGGTGTGAAACACACTGACCTACAGTCAGTCTCTCCTGGGTTAGACAGTCTCCTCCGGCTCTGTTTAAGTACAGTGCCTCTGGATTGAAATGACACACTGACTGCTGCAGGAGCAAGATAAAGGACTCGTGTCAGTCACCTCATGTCCTCATTTATGGAAAACACAGTGACAGCAGAAGGGACAGAGTTAAAGAAATAGTGAAAATCTGTATAATATATACAGAAAGTCAGCAGAAGCAACTGAATGAAGGCAGCAATCTATAAATATATATAAACTCTGATTGTTGAATTCACTTTTTCAGGATCTCATACGACCCGAGCCGGTATCCACGCTACATCCCCGAGGCCTACTGCCTGTGTAAGGGCTGTCTGATGGGACAGTACGGGGGGGAGAGCGACCTGTACCGCAGCACTCCGGTCTACGCTCCCTCTGTGATCCTGAAGAGAAGCGGCTCCTCCTGCGTCGCTGGCCGATACTCATACACCGAGATCTACGTCTCCATCGCCGTGGGGTGCACCTGTGTGCCACTTCTGGAGAAGGAGCGGGACGGCCAGACTGGCAACCAGAGCCTGGAGAGAGCAGAGCCCAAAGCAAGACGGCTCGTCTCTGCCGGAAAGAGGGTATGAAGGGAGCAGGACTGCCTCAGATACAGGTTTCTACACCTGATCCACCTTTATTGGTTTAAGCTTTTACTCACTGATTAGTTCTACTGTGAAGTATGATCCCCTGTGACTGTCCCCAAACAACACATTAAAGATTGGGATTATGAAGTTGCTCCTGGAGACTCATCTTCAGCATCTGGAAGCAAATGAGGACCGTTTGTTGCCTGGCTTGTTTACGAGCCCTCTGGTTCTGAACCTGGAACTGACCTGGACTTCATAAAGAAGTTATAAAAGGATACAACAAGCCAAAGCAGCAAAACCTGGATCTGCAGCTGTACTGTGACAGGCCTACAGATCCAGAGAAGACTACATGGGACTCTGAGTACACTTTAACATTTGAAGGGTTGGTTCAGCCAAGATACAGAAAACACATTTAATTTACCTTCTGGATCCACCCACGCAGATAGTTTGGGTTTTATCTGCTCAGATTTTGAGAAATTCATCAGAGATTTCAGCCACACAAACAGAATCAGATTGTGATTCACACTGTGACGGGGTGGAGGCAGGACTCTCAACACCTGGCCAAATAGCACCACAACCATGGACACATAGCACTAGAAATACATCAGAACATGTTTATGTCTATATCATTTGGCTGGACCAACCCTTTGGAAAAAAGCAAATACCGACCAGTGGAATAAAATGCCTCATTACTATCAATAACCTGATCAGCGCTGCCACCTACTGATTGCAAGTTGTGGCTCTGATCAGCAGGAGAACCCTGACATTACAGTCACTGTTATTCTGACACATTTGAACAGCAACTTGTCATCAACAAGAAATATTCCAATGACTGTATTTGCTCTATTTTGGGTTCGTTTGTATAAAGTTAGCTCACCTCAGTCTCATTTGCATTTTCAGGATACAGGACAGACATAACAGCTGTGGTTTCAACCGCTGTCATCGTCACATAAGTAAAAGAGTTAAGAGAATAAACACACCTGCTACATAAAATATTTTCCCTTTTTTTATTTATTCTTCCATCTTTCTTCTTGTCAACTGAACGGTCGGTGCTGCTCTGCCTCTGACGAGAATCAACTGAAACATGTAAGAAGGTGTTTATTCTCCGGCTGAACTCTTCACCACTCTGGGCGTCTGGTAGAGGAGCTGTGCATCTCTTTAAATACCATTAAAGTTTCAGTTGTTCATGTCTTTGCTCGCTCGCTCTGTCTCCTGGTCACTCTCGATAGCTCTCTCCATTTCTTGTTTGTTCAACTTGGTAGTGATGCTGCGAACTCCATCTCGTACTGCTCCTTCAGTATGTCTCCAAACGAGGACGCGGCAGATCAAAACATCGATGAAACTGAAACTCTCCTTTGCTGCTAACCAGTAACAGCAGAGTGAGTGGTTTCTAGAACTTAAAGGGCATTTAATAATGGTCAAAATCAAAGCAGATTAGGCCAAGATATCCCAAAAACAAAATGGATCCTACATTTCCCATAATGCAACTTGACCGCATGTTTTTGTCAGAGCCTGGTGTCTGGTGAGAGCCTACGTCTTTCAAACTGTGTAGGAGTGTGTTAAAAATCACTAGCCTCCTGATGACCTCACCATGACATCATCAGGGGATACTCTCTCAAAGCTGACACAGCACAGGATTTAATTCAGCTCTGCATGATGAGTACACTGATCTCAATGAGTAAAACTGATATAAAAAGAACCGACAGATCATTAAAGGTCTGTAAACTGTAAAAACCAAAGCTGCTCAGTTGGTCCAATCAAGAGTCCAAAACCCAAAAGATGTTCAATTGAAAACCATATAAAACAGAAAGAACCTCACACTGGAGAAGCTGAAACTATTTCCTGTTTTTGCTTGACCAAAAGTACCAACTGACACTAATAACTAAAATGAACATCAGTTAGTTTTCCTAAATAATGTTTTTTGTAGAAAACCAGCCGGTGTTTGATTCATGAGACTCAAATTCACTTGTAATTATAAAGAGTTGACTAAAACGGGCCCTGAAGAAGAAGAAGAAGAAGAAGAAGAAGAAGAAGAGGGGTCCTCTTCTTTAATGAATTCCTTCATTCCTCGACAGTACGAGACCACAGCTGTAGAGCGCTGTGCTGGAGAACGTCGGTGTGAGCTGTCCTGCCTCTATCAGTCTGCTCATCAGACCGATCTTCAGCTCCTCAGCAGGACAGCAGGCGAGACGGATAGTTGACGAAACAGCGGAACTCGTTGGACAACTGTCTGTTGTGTTTTGGCAGGAAGCTGCACATTTTTACATCCAGAAGGTCTTTGGCGATTTTCTCCATGATGGCTCCTGCAGAACAGAACAGAGCGGACACACAGATCAGACGTTAGTGATATTAGCCACGACGTGTAGGAGAACAAAAAAGACAGCAATGCACCATCTACACTGAGATTATACAACCACATACAAATTCTATACATAGATCAGCGCGTCAGTATTTTATACCATGGGCACAGAAAACCCTTGTTTCTGATTGGCTGGCAGGTGTGTGAGGATCTATTGGCAGTCATTAAATATAATATTCATTGGTATGTTTTCATTAGTGTATAATCATCCAAATAGAGGAGTTGTTATGTTTTCATTACCTTAGAATGAGCTGTTTTTATCTACAGACACCACATGTTTGCATGTTAAACCGCATGTTTGTACAGTAGCCCAAGAGGGACAAACCAAACACTAACTCTAGATAGGGGTGCCACCATAGTTTTTCTTTAGTGCTTGGAAGAGGAGATCTGCAACTACACCACTAGATGCCACCAGATCTTACACACTGGACCTTCAGGACAATATTACCCCCCCCCCCTCACCTGTGCACAGCAGCACTTTGCCTTTGCTCAGGTACTTGATGGTTTGGGCCACTTTGCTCAGACACTCCTCCGACAGGTACGGCGGGTCGGCGAGGACGATGTCGAAGCTCTGAGGAGCCACGCTGGCCGCAAGGGACAGCGGCTCGTTGTAGTCGTAGAAGATGAAGTCGTTGCCGTAGGTGGCGAAGCGGCGGTCGTACTCCAACACGACGGCGGACACCCGATCCGAGCCGTCCACCACACCCTGCTTCAACTTCTGGTACACACTGGGTGCACTCACACACGCTATCCTGCAAACAGAGAGACACTTAAACTTGTGGTTGTGGTGTGTTGCTCTGTGGACTGTTCCTGTGTGTAAGGGATCAAACACACACTCTGTCCTTCAGAAACTGAGAGTGAGACGTTTCTACAAGATCAGAGAGCAGACCAGAATGCACTGCAGCTACAAGACAGGCTGGGGTTTGAACATTACTCTGAAGTTCTCTAAAACAGCGGTTCCCTTCACTTTATTGGCTTAAGCTCTCTTAAAACGAAGCAGTGTTTATTTGTAACACCTCGTCATCAGTTGCACACACACAGCTGTAACCAGTTCCACCCTAAAAGGTTTTCTTAAGTCTAGAAATTGTAGGAACATCTGGAAGAGAAATAGTTTTTTTTTTTTTCTCTCATTATCTCTCCTCTTGTGACCCCGGGGTTGAGAACCACTTCTTCATTCATTGCATTCACTGTGTGTGTGTGTGTGTGTGTATTTTTACCTGCCTCCCTCTCCTGCTTCACGTATGACCTCCTCAGCTAACTGAGCTGCTGTTTCGTCACTGTACCAGAACTGGCTCATCCGCTGGTTGACAGAAACACACACACACACACACACACACACACACACACACACACACACACACACACACACACACACACACACACACACACAAGTTAACTTTTACAACTTATCATTATCAACACTAAATCTGATCAATAGATCAATGAATTATTGATCGGATATTTTCTGTATCCTCTCATTCATTATCAGTTTGTTGATTTGTGGTCAATGAAGAGTCAGAAAACTGAAAATCTGTCAAATGTCTTTTGTTCAACTGATGATCTAAAAACACAAATATCTAATTCCATTTTCAATAATATGAAACAGAGAAAAGCAGCAATCTTCACAATGCAGAAGCTTTCCATTTTTACATAAACCATCTAAACTATTTATCAACTATCAAAACAGCTGGTGATTTATTTTCTGTTGTTTTATGACTCATTTATTAACCAGGGATTCCCCGAAGTGCTCTACTGTAGCTACGCAGTAAGGGCTATTTACAGTTGAACAGTAACCAACAAAAATGTATTCTGAAGGATCCACACAACTAATAATTACTGCAATCATTAATGTGTAACATTTAACATTTAGTTAAAATAACAAACAGCCAACAAAAAATATTTTAAAACATTAGATCAATATGTGAACACAGCTTCTCTTCCTCTTCCATCACGATACAGCGGTTACGATTCCATATACTGCCATTTAACTTCCAACTGTCATAGTATAAACACACCTTCATATGCATTAAATCTAACAGTTTTCTCTTTTATGCAACCAGAACAGTGGCAGTTGATCGGTATTTATCTTTATATATTTATATATTATTTATATTGTCGCCTCAACTGTACAACAACAGAGTAGAGCTACAATTCAGGAGATATGTTGGCCGTCAGACCCCCTCTTTCCCTTTTCCACTGGCATTAAATTAAATTATTTCTCCCTTTTTTAATAGATGGGAACATTTTCTTCCTGTGTGTGTGTGTGTGTGTGTGTGTGTGTGTGTGTGTGTGTGGTATCAAGACAATCAAAGACTTATTAACTGATAACATATTCTCATCTTCCCAAACATCATTTTTTAGATACTTAGAGGTTCATAGTTTCGTTAAAAATACTTACTATGCTTTTCCTAATTCGACCCCTTTTTGACCCCTCTACCCACTATAAAGTCTCACTGCACACACTAGTAAAACGCTATGGGAGGAGGATTTACAGTGAATGAAGATGATGTATGGGATGAGTGTTCATGGCAGGTTCATTCCTCCTCCATTTCCTCCTCCTAGGCACGGCCCAGTACAACTTAAGGTTCTCCAGCACTATCCCTTCCCTCAGGTCAGACTGTCAAGAATGTACGAGGATGCTGATCCTGTCTGTGATCTCCAGCTACCGGCACTCATACGTTTTGGACGTGCTCCTCTCGGCGTATGCTTTGGTTGGAAATATTCAGGACAATCTCACAAATAATCCCAGTCAGACCATCTGCATCTTTTTCTCATACTAAGAGCTCTGTTTATTTTCTCTCTTTGTTCCTCTGTTATACCTGCTATCTCTGTTATCTGTTATTCCTATGGAAAACCAATAAATTAAGTCATTCGATCAGTCGTTTTAAAGCAGAGTCAGATTCCACTCTCACTGATGCTGCAGCAGTTTGTAAAACTCATCCTCAGTGTCAGTGACGCAGGATCAGAGTCTGTCTCCTGTACCTTGATCCAGTAAACTCACCCAGTCCTCCTCCAGCGCTCCCACAGCGAACTGGTCTGATGGTGTGGTGACGAGAGCCGGGTCGGTTTTGGTCTCATTGTAGAACTCCTGCAGGGCGGCCAGAGTGTGAGCTGACAGTGTGGGGACGTCGTCGTCGCTGTCGCTCATGGCTGACGGAGGACGAGTGGCTGTCCTTCGGGAATAATTTTCTTTTGAAGGAGGTAAAAACCTGAAACTAGAAGAAAAACATTGTTATTGATATTTTCTAATGAATCCAAGCAAACAATAAGAAAACATTTAGTTCATAAGAAATGTTTCTTTTTATAAAGGAGCACAACATTGAACCTCAGTTTGATATTTTACATGTGATATTTCGTACATTTGCCACATGAATCAATAAGCATTCTAATATTGTGATATTGATTTTTGTCAAGCCCTAAAATATCATTTATACAAAAATGTTCCAAGTGACGCATTATATATTTAGCAAGCAGTGCACGGTTCATTTTTCATGTAATTACATTTTAAATATTTCTGAGGAATAAAAAACGAATCTTGTACCCGACACTACAGTTTTGTTTTGTGTGTGTGTGTGTGTGTGTGCGCGTGTTCTTGCTTTTTATCATTAATAATCAGGTAATGTCTTTAGGATGGAGATCTCTTTTGCAAGAGAGACCGAAGGACGTCAGAAGGATTGGACAAATGCATTGATTTCTTCACTGTTATACAGGTTTTGTAGCTGTGTCTGCAGGTGTTTCTTTCTGAGACATTGTTTTGGTGTGCGTTCTCTTCTCAAAGAGTTCTGAAAGGGAGAGAAAACATCTACGTCTGCAGCAGCAGAGATTTCTGTGATTTCTGAAACACTACACACAAACATCGTTTGTTCATGCACTCGTCAACGTTGGTTTATTTCACCTCCAGAACATGGTGTTCTTTCAGACTACCGGAAAGCAAATAAACACATTTAGGTCTTTATTTCACAACTTTTGGATTTTACTTCACTTTATATTATTACTATTTGTGTCTGTAGGTTTGACCAACGGTTCGCATTAGTTAATGTCTCAGTTTCACATTCAAACATTCAGTAAACCTTAAATACAGAAATAACTGCTCAATGAGCTGGGCAAGTTTGATACTGATATCAGTTTTAACCCTTTCCACCTGCAGTGTTTTGCAAAATGTAATGAAAAGTGTGATTAGTCTTTCACAATGTGAGCCACACCAGACCTCCCCCTCTTTATTCTCTCTCTCTCTTTATTCTCTCTCTATTCTCTCTTTATTCTCTCTCTCTCTATTCTCTCTCTATTCTCTCTTTATTCTCTCTCTCTCTATTCTCTCTTTATTCTCTCTCTCTCTATTCTCTCTCTATTCTCTGGGTTTCACAGGGTGAAGCCTGACTTATAGAACATTGTAGTCCTAAAAACATGGAGAGTAGCTTCTCATTTATGGAGTGATAAAGCTGTTCAACCTCCTCTCTGCCATTACTCTGGACTCTAACATGACAACATGATGAGAAAACTTAATGAGTGCAATAGCGAGTTCTCAACCTGGTGACGAGTTAAACAGTGGCCCTGTCGCCTGCAGTCTCTCTCCTTTAGCGACAGTCGCTGAATCAAAGAAGGAAGCATCGACACATCTGACACAGTGAACAGTGAGGGACAGCGGAGAGACATTACCTGTTCACCAGCGGCTCCTGAGGGCGCCGCCCGGCTGCTGCTGCTGCTGCTGCTGCTGGGGACATGTGAGTAGTCGCAGCTTGATGACGTCATTGTGGAAAGTATGGCTCTGGAGGAGGGACAAAACAGTCTCTCTCTCTCTCACTTTCTTTAGTCAATGTTCATTAATGACAGGTGAGTTCATCTTAACCCTGAATGGTGTCGATAATGAAGACTGATGTAATTAGAGGTGGATGTAGTAGATGTATTAAATAAAGACTGACTGTGGGTTTAGTTGAATGCTAAAGTTCATTTCAGTATTAGACTGAAAGTAAAGCAGTCCTGCAATAAATGCTACCGTTAGCTTTTATACTTTCAGTGTTTTAAGGGTGTTTGTTTTGTAGCCAGCGCTCACTGATATATATATGGGGTGTACACAATAATAGAAACAGCTGTCAGTACAGCACAGCAACTCCATTATCCGTTTCATCAGCAAGACAGTTGATATTTTACCTCCAAATTCCTGTTTGCCTTCCACAACAGCTGCCATTAAAAATAATAATACTGGTAATAAAAAGTCAAATCAATAAGTTTACTACAACAGGCAGGACACATGGAAAGGAACCGCACAGGCCACAACATTTTATACAATAAGTTTATGTACACTTTTACACTTCATTAACAAAACAGCCATTCTACAACAACCAGGGTAGTGCTCTGAACGAGGAGGGTCTGTCTCCAACATAATGCTTCAACAAGTGGCTCTGCTCCTTTTTATTTGGTTTGTTATTGCTGTCCTTCAACTCAAACAGTCTCTGCTTCAATCCAGTGTGTGTTGAAGTGTGATACGGTGGATGTGCTGCTGTAGAAAAATACTACTGAAATTAATCTTCTCCACTTTCAGAGGCGATCCTTCTTGGGCTTTCATCAGTCCGGAGCGAGGGGGGAGGGTGGGCAACAAAATACTACAATCCAAATAGAGAAAAAAATATCAAACCTCAAAAGGTCAACACAGAGAAAGTTGCTCCCTCATCAGCTGAATTCATACAATGTTGAACTGATACAACTCTTCCTGCCATCTACTGGCATATAAAAACATTTCAGTCATGTATTTTTTGAATCATCTTTGAACATTTCTCACGGTTTCTGATCTGGAAACATATTTACTGTGTGTGTATATATATACACACACACCCACCCTTTAGTGAAACAATCTGATTTTGGTTTTCGGTGCTGCTTGGATCAGCAACCCTAAATGCAGCCAGGCTGGCCATACCTTTTGTTGTCATGGCAACATTTTTGCATGTGTGTGCATGTGAGTTTTTTGAGCGTGCGTGCATCCGCTGTATTCTTGGTGAATGACGAGCACGGCCGTTATTTGTTGTCAGTTCATGTATGACATGATCACACATACACACACAGAACAATCAACAAAACAAAGGCACTCTGGGAAGGATTGGGGTGCGTGTGTGTAGGAATGAAAACTGTTCAAATGAAGTGTGTGTGTGTGTGTGTGTGGGCGCATTGGGGAGGAGGTGGTCGCCATGGCATTCTTAAAACTAAAATGGCCCCTCTAATACCATCAACTACAAAACCTCACACTGGAAAAAAACTTCTCCAATTTTTAATAACAGCAACCGGCTTTACCCTCAATGTCACTGTGTGTGTGTGTGTGTGTGTGTGTGTGTGTGTGTGCGCGCGCTCTGGCAGCCTCCTGGTACATGAGTCGGTGGAGGAAGGAGGAGGTGGAACACCGTTGCTGCTCCACCTCTTGTCGTCATGATGGTCAGTGCTCCGTCGTTTCAGTCAATAGGGCAGGATCCTCCGATTGAGTCCGTCTGCTCTGCAGTTCTGTCTCCATGGTTACCACATCATCGTCATCAAGTCTGTCAATCTTGCTAAAGGGGGCGGGCCCGGAGGTGCAACGGGTGGGGAGGAAAACAAAAACAAAAAAGAAATCCTCAGAGGTGAAAAGGGGGGTAAACATTCACGCGTGAGATGGATTCCCCAGCAGGTAGAGAGACAGAGAGTTCCTCCAAGGCTTCGTGCTGTCTCTTCTACCCATAGTTCTCAGGGGTGGGGTGGGGGGGGGGGGGGGTCTTCGATTGGCTGCTTTTCAAAACGATGATTCGAGGCGGAGTCAGTTTCCAGTGGTTATTTCACGCAGAGCAGGCCGCCCACGTTTGCCACAAACTCCTCCAGGCTCTTGAGGAAGGCCACCTTCTGCTTGCGGTCCATTGTGGGCGGCGTGCTGCTGGCCGTCAGCTTGTTGAAGGCGTCGGCCAGCCGCTGGTAGATGACGGCGTCTCTCTGCGAGGAGAGCAGAGTCTCCACTAGCTCAGAGTACTCCGCCTGACAGAGAGGACAAGCAGACCATCAACTTAGGTTCAAATAAAGACACCTAACAGGAGAGCCAACACAGGGTTTCTGCAGGTTTCTGCAGGTTCAATTTGAGACTTTTTCAGACCATCATGAATGCAACTGAAGACCTATTTTACATTTACACCTATTATTGTATTCAGTATTGTCAGTTTTGTAGTTTTCAGTGTGATCAACACAATTTTTTCCCAAAAATGTTTTAAAGAGAGTGAAAAATTTGCAACTTTATACAAGTAGCGTTAACTTCATTAATCCAGTCCATTTTAAAGACCTGTCAAATATTTAAGACATTTAAAAGGCCTAAAACTCAGATTATTGGATATACACTTTTAAGACCCTGTGAAAACCTGCAGCATCATCTGCTAATGAGTTTCAGTATAAAAAGTGTGTCAATGACATTATTTGACCACTAGAGAGCACTGTAGCTGTACAATGTCCTGATCTGTACACACTGTGGGCACAATTCAGTAATAATAAAATAATAAAATGTGAGGGGTCCTTAAAAACATTCTCCCCTCATTTTCATTCCCTCACTGTTGACCTCCTAAAAAAGGGATCAAACGCCCAATAAAAGGTTTATTATTTATTGTTAATATTATGTGTTGATATTTGTATTCATGCTGATATTGTTCTCAAACGTTGTATTATTGAATGTGCTGTTTAATACTCACTGATAGAAGAGACAATGTATTGGGTCAAAACACCACACTAGACTCCTCAATGGATACAACGTATGTAAACACAACAATTCACCATCAAAAATAATAAATGCATAAAGTTTACTGAAACAAAAATGGCTTGAAATAAAGTGAGGAGAAGAGTAAAGCTTAAAACTGAAAATAAATGTGATACTGTATATTTTACTTTATTTAAATTATTTGGTTTTAATTATTGGCTTAATTATTATTGATTTATAATTTTACTTATATTAATTTTTTGGTCAGTTCACATTACAGAAAAACTGAATTTTATGAACATATACCATTATGTGTTACATCTTTGGCTCAGTAAGTTCTGTACTGTGGTACTGGAAGCTGAGTTATGTGCTATGACGCAGAGTGCCCACTAGAGGGCTTTTGGTGTAATTCACAAAATCTCTGCCCGCTGCTGGGACCAGCAGACTGGACCTCACTTATAATAGTGCTTATTTATACTTACATACTTAAATATAATTACATGCAAAATATTCTGGAGAAACAAGCTGTTTAAATCTCAAATGAACTTATTATTTGATCAAACTATCTGTGTTTCATAATCTATTTGAAGATGTTTACATTTGGTTGTCTTAACAGGTGGGTAAGCCAGCAAAGCAATGTTACTGCTAGAAGTGTCACCACTGTTGTTAATGAAGTGGACAGGTCTCAGATCAGTCATCTTAAAAGCCTTCAGGTCATTTTATAAAGCAAGAAGATCCATTATTATTATTATTATTATTATTATTATTGGCATTAGATTTGTCTTTATTGTCAACCACAGCTGATCCAGCCTTTCTCCTGGATATTACCAGGTTCAACCACTGGAGCATCCTGGTGCGTACAGGTGTTGTAAGCCATTTACTCACCTGGTGCAGGCACACAAGTGTGTAAAGAGCTTCCCCTGCTGCCACCGTCATCTCTGTGTTGTGTTTTTGCAGGACCAGCATGTCAAACACCAACTGGAGGCACAGATGAAGGAGGACACGGTGTAAAGAAGAAAACATTATCATAAAGCAAAAGTCTACATCCAAATGAGTTCTACAATATTATGGATCCTAAAGTCCAACAGCATGTAGCTTCCTAGCTAAATATAAAGCTGCAGTCAGCAGCTGGTTAGCATAGCTTCAGAATCAGAATCAGAAATACTTTAATAATCCCAGGGGGAAATTATTTGGCTTAGCACAAAGACTAGGAACAGGGGAAAACGGTTAGCTTAACTCTGTCCCAAGGTAAAAAAAATCCTCATCCACATCCTAAAATATTTTTTGGGCTTTTATGCCTTTATTTTGATAGGACAGATAAGGATAGACCAGAAAGTGGGAAGCAGAGGAGGCGAGTTGGAATCAAACCCAGACCACTGTGATAAGGACGTATCCCATAAGCCTACCAGGTGAGCGACTGTGCACCCCACACCTTGTTTCTTTAAAACCATCATCAAGTTATCACATTTACGTATTTTATTGAGGTGAAAAAGCAACCCAGCCAGGTGTGTGATAAATACCTTGAGGAAGTGACGGGTAGCGATGAAGAGGGGTGTGTCCTTCTCCTGGTTCTTAGCGCACTGCTCAGCCAGAGGAGACAAAGCCTCCAAACACAGCTGGCTAATCTCTGAACTCATCCTGAACACAGACGTTAAGGAGCAGAAACTACAGAACAATCTGATTTTTCCCGGTCCAGGGGAACTTGTGCAGCTGCACCGGATGGAAGCAAGAGGAAACAAATCAAACACTGATGACTAGAAAACTAGTAAATTATCCTAACAAGCAGCAGTAGAGTAACTAAATTGGAAAAATTATGGTTTAAATTGGACACTGAAAAATTTGAGTTCATACTTCTCTGAGCGAGCATCTGTTTTCAATAATCTGTAGTAAGGGCACACTTTGGTCAATACTAAAAATTAAAAAATCTACTAAACAGGATTATCAATT